ACCTGCCGAGTGTTAGAGCATACCCGTCAGTGCCAGCAGCTTGTCTGCAACAAAGATGGCTGTGTCGTACTGGCAGCGATTGAGGGCTTCCTGGCGCCACTCGCGTAGATATTTCTCCATAGTTTCGCTATCGCATTGGGTATAGTCTGTTCAGGCGGGTTAGTGAATGTGCCCCAAAAGATATCCCCAGTCGAGGTGGCAGTCGGCGGCGGCGCGATGTTTAGAGCCAGGGTCGCGCCTGCCCGACGCGAGAGCACATGTTTGCGGGGTGCCTGCAGCAGCGGGCCGCCTTAGTCAGCCAAAAGTTCCGCGCTAGGGTTGCCGTTACCTGGACGTGATTTCGAGCACTCACTTGACATCCAACACGCCACACGACCTCATCCATATCACGCGCGAGACCTTCATTTGCGCAGCATAAACCCTACATTCTGTTTCAACGCATCAACTCGGAGCACCCGATCAGCGCCGCACCACACCAGACGTCGTATAACCCGCCGCCATGTCCGAACGAAAAGTGCTCACCAAGTACTACCCACCGGATTTCGATCCTTCGAAGATCACGCGCCAGCGCGGCCCCAAGAATGCCGGTCCCAAGCTGATGACAGTCCGCCTCATGGCACCTTTCTCCATGAAATGCACCCACTGCGGCGAGTTCATCTACAAAGGCCGCAAGTTCAATGCGCGCAAGGAGACGACCGACCAAAAGTACTACAACATCGCCATCTTCCGCTTCTACATTCGATGCACGCGATGTTCCGGCGAGATCACCTTCAAGACAGACCCTAAGAACATGGACTACGAATGCGAGCGTGGCGCGAAGAGAAATTTCGAGCCGTGGAGAGAGGCCAAGCTCAATGAGGAGACCGAAGAGGAACGCCTGGATCGCATAGAACGGGAGGAGGCAGAGCGCGACGCGATGAAAGAACTCGAGACAAAGGTCATCGATGCCAAAACCGAGATGGCCATCGCAGACGCTCTAGACGAGATCAGGTCCAGAAACGCAAGGCTAGAGAAGGCGGACCGCGAGGGCAAGGGAACCGAGGTACAACCTGATGCTGCCGACGAGCGACGCAAGAAGCTGGAGGAAGAAGACGCAGAGGCTGCACGACAGGCATTCGCAAATCGGAGCATGCCTGACATCGGCGAGGAGACGATTGACGAAGACATGTTCGACGCGCCCATCGAGGTACCCGTTACTACAACCTTCACCAAGAAGCCGAAGGAAAAGAAAGATTTTAGCGCTGCGTTAGGCCTCAAGAAAAAGGCGCCTGCTTCGACACCCGCGCCTCAGGCTAAAGCCGCTGCACAGCCCTCGAAACTATCGACTATGCTTGTCGCTGGTTACGATAGCGATGACGACTGAGCTATTGGAAGGCCATCCAAGCCTACACAAGAGCAAGCAGGGCATACACGCACCTATGATATATCGGATGTCTCCTCGTCCACACAATCAGCCACAACGTGGTGTGTATCTGCGCTGGCATTGTATAGATCGTTAAACACGGTATTGTCGGTGACTATGCGGTGAGTCTGCCATGGCTAGTGAGGGTGACCAATGCAGGACCAGCTTCGAAACTTGACGAGTCCTGAGGCCGACTACCGGACACTCGCGAATATTTCCTGTGCCCCAGAACACGAAAAAGGACTATGCGTATTCGACTGCCTTCTTATTCTGGTCGATGGAACCATCTTGTTGTGGCATTTGCATTAGGCCGAACTACCGAGGCTGCTCATGTAGCGCCTTGGAAACCGGTAGCGCCGGATTAATACCACACCCCATATCCAACTTAATCTATCCCCAGACCCACCTACCAGAAGAGGTGCTACTGACTTTGTGACTACGTTACCCCGCAAAGATGGTCACCTTCCTGGTCTGACGCTCCTAGGGTTCACGGAAGCTTGGGTACCTAGCCATCTTAGGAGGGACAGCCGTTGCGCAACGCTCGTGACGTCGTATCCTTGACAAACTATGTGGCAACGCCGGATGGAACTTTATTTCACAGCCTTTATAAGTGGCCTTGCGCCTTCTCATCTGCTCGTCATATCCGGGCTTACTGTACACCTTTCACGATGCGTCTCCTCACTTTGTGCAGCTTGCTTCCCAGCATTCTTGCTCTGCCGTCACAAACCCTCGACTTTTCAAGACATGCCATTGCATCTCGTGCCGATGCGGCTCTGACGAATTATCTCGGTGTCTTCTTCCTCGGCGACAAACCTTCTGTGTACTTCTATCTTTCCAACGGCAACAACGCCAACTCCATGACTGCTTTGAACAAAGGCCAAGCTGTCATCAACCCGACGAAAGGCACTCTTGGAGTCCGCGACCCGGCCATTATAACCGGTGGAGCAGCTGAAGCTGGCAAAAAGTGGTACATCATTGGCACCGACTTGAACATCGGCAAGACAACGTGGGACGCATCCCAACGCACGGGATCTCGAGGCATCTTTGTCTGGGAGTCCGCCGACCTTGTAACATGGACCAATGAACGCCTCGTTACTGTTGAAGACGCGACTGCAGGAATGGTTTGGGCACCCAGCGCTATCTTTGACGAAGCCAAAGGCCAGTACTTCGTTCATTGGGCGAGCAAGTTTTATCCCACCTCCGACCCGCAACACACTGGCTCTCCTTCGTCGATTCGCATCCGCTACGCATACACCAAGGACTTCAAGACCTTTAGCACGCCTCAAGACTACATCAACCGATCTCCCATCAACGTCATCGACCAGGAATTCCTGTCTCTCGGTAACAACGCGTACGCGCGCTTTCTGAAGGACGAGAGCGCGAAAACAGTCTACACGGAGATCTCGACCAGCGGACTGTTCGGCACCTGGTCCAGGCCTGCAGGTGCCAATGCAATCATTGCATCCGGCGTAGAGGGCCCCGCGCCTTACTGGGACAACCAAGTAGCTGGCAAGGCGCATCTCTTGCTGGACTTTTATGGAGCGGATGGGTATAGGCCTTACGAGAGTACCAACGTAAGGGGTGGCCAATGGACAGCGAGTGACAGGAGCGCCTGGCCTCAGAACTTGAGGCACGGAAGTGTGTTGGGCGTTAATGCGACTCAAGTGGAAGCGTTGAAGAAGAAGTGGGGGGCTTGAGCGTTTGGAAGTCCGCGACAAGGCGGTCTTTGACACTATGTTTCACTCCTACCTAGAGGCTGATTGCAACATTTCCGCTTCTCGAATTGCGTCATGGTAGACATTACAGATTCACATCAGGAGTTTATACCTGTATAGACCTTACCTCCATCCAAACCCCTTGCTCTTATCATTCCAAACTGTTACTACTACTCTTTATTGGGATGAAGCTGCTATTCTACGGTTATCTTGTCTGTCTTGTTGCTTCGGCTACGAGAGGGGTCGTAGCTCGACGAGAGCTACATGAAGATTTCACTACCATCAACTCAAGCTCGAAAGTCTCGATTGCCGCCGTAGATCCCGTACTTGCTGTCGACACACCGCCACCCCCAGATCATGACCCCATATGGCACAAGGCTTATTGTCGCGGCGCCGCCCTTGTCCGAGCCATGTCCCTCGACGAAGAAGAAAGCAACACGATGCTGCAATGGCCTTACACACAAAGCCCTTGGGACGGCGATCTAAAATCCGAACTGAGAAAATGGGGCTGGCTCGATGACGAAGAGGAGAATGCACAGGTTGATGACTCATGTGACTTCGACGAGACCTTGAAAATGAAGAACACTTTCGATGCTCTCGGTGTTGATGCGCGACCAGCAGGGAAGGGTGGACCGAATCATTGCTTCAAATTACAGCATAGCAATGGGCCTACGGTCATCCTAGACAAGAATGGGAAGATGCCTTATTTGTCTAGTCAGCGTTACGAGGCGGATGGCAAGACGTACAGGGTCAGTAATCCAGAGCTCCAGCAACAGAACGCCCACTGGGCCAGTTTCTAACAAACCGACAGGTCACCGGCGCTTACAGTACCGTAGGCATAAACCGCAACGACGGTATCCTCTATTTTCTCAACCGAATGTCACCCGAGCAGGGAGCCGCAGATCTATGGAATCTAAAACCGGAACAAGTCGATAAAGCCGACTTGCCCAAGATCCGCTCGAGCTCTGACTTGGCTTGGGCGCTCTGGAACAGGGTTCCTGGCGAACCGAGAATTAAGATGATTATGGCTCTTCAGATTGTCAATACGCAAACGGCGGAGACGATCATACCGAAGGCTTTGGAGGCGGTGGGAGAAACAGAGCTGAAGAGATGGCCTGGGAGGGAGATTGTTGTTGGGTCAGATAATGACGCTGAGGCTGAAGCTGCCCTTGCACTTGTTGGTACGTCGTTCCTCGTGTACATCGCATCCCGCTCTCTCTGACACCCTCTAGGGTCGCCCAATGGACTCGGCGCTGGCTACTTTCTTCTACAACACAAAAGGCAACTCGGTGGTGCAAATTTCATCTACAAGATCACGATATTTAGAAACGATGGCGATGAGTTTGATGATGAGCCTAATCTCATTTTTCATGTTGACAAGAATACAACACCGATGCCGGATGTGGAAGACACTCCTGGTGCGCCGGAGAAACCGGCGGAGAAGGGTAGCGCGGCGGTTCGAGAGGGTAAGGTAGTGAGGAGGAGTAGGGATGGGAAGAATTTGGTTAGAGAACATGTTGTTTGGGCTAAGCTTTGATGGGAAGGCTATAGCATATTGCAAGAGGGTAAGTGCGTTCGTCAAACCTAAACAACTCAAAGCTATTGCGATGAGACAGCATACAGGCTTACACATGAGTTGACCAGTGGCTGAGATACAGCAGTGCAGCATGTTGGGTCGAACGTGCTTTCTCTTTCCCAGCATTTTTCTTATCTCAGCTCTGTGTTGCTCTTGCCTCACATCCCCTCGGCCACCTTCTCTCACCTTCACTTTGTGTCGCAAGCGCCGCTCGCTTGTCCGGTGAAGGCTCCAGTGTTCACCTTCTCTCCTTCCTCTTGTCGTTACCCCGCACGCAAATTTACCTGCAGCACCGCGAGTCGAAAAGATGAAGTTCACGCAGATCTTCTGCATCGTGGGTCTTGTTGCCCTCGGTGCGACTGAGGCCTTGCGCAATCTTACCAACGTCACTTCCGTCACTCTCAAATCTCAGAACCTCACTGTGCACGTAGCAGGCGACCCCGACGATAGCGACGATGACGACGATGACGACGACGATAGCGACGACAGCGACGATAGCGATACTGACGATGATGACGTACGGCTTGGGACTCCAGTTCCTGCTACTGAAGCACTTTGGCATGCATCGAAATGTCGGGGCGCCAAACTCATGTTTGCGTGTACCCAGGACCCACCGCAAGCCGCCCGGTTTGTCAATCCCTTGACAGTTCCCTGGGATGGCGACCTCAGGAACGAACTTCTCACTTGGGGTTACAAGGAAGGAACTAGTGATCCTGATGACGACTGCGAGATCGGCGTTCTCCAGCCAATGCTAGACGCCCTGGGACTTTCCAAAGTAAACAATCTTCACGGCGGGCCAAACTACTGTTTCTCTTACGAACATCGTGACAGCGCTGTCGTGGAAAGAGTAAATGGAATCTTGCCACCCAAGGACAAACAGTGGTATATTGTCGATGGTGTGAGGTACAGGGTAAGCTCATGCGTCGACTCCTTTCACTGGCCTTAACTAATGGCTTTGTGCTTCTAGGTCACGGACGCTTATTCCACCGTCGTCATCAATCAAGCTGCTGGTATAATTTTCTTCCTTCGCAGAGGGTCCGCTGAGCATCAAGCCCGCAGACTCTGGAAGGTAAAGGATCAGGTTCCCATTCCACCAAATGAGTTGCCGGCTCTACGTACGAGCTCAGACGTAGCCTGGGGATTCTGGAACCGAGTAAGTGGTGAAAACCTGGGGAATATCAATGGCGTCGTCTCCATGTTAATCACCAACGACCAAACGCGGAGAGTTATCGATAGGGTATTGGTGGACAAGCATCTCGAAACGGTACAGCTATGGCCAGGAACTGTGGTTGACGTCCACTCCGTACATTATCTGGCTCTTCTGGGTACGTTGAAATTCTCTATTCTTCCACACTCGTGATGCAAAGCATCTTATGCTTCGGGTTTGGGAAGTCACTAACGACCAATGCGAATCTAGGATCACCCAATGGTAGAGCTGTAGGATATCTGCTGGCGCAACACAAGGCAAAGATTGGCGGCAATAGATATGTTGAGTCTATTCACATATTCCGCCCCTACGAGTACTCGACACTGCCTCACCTTTTCTTCCGCGTCAATTGGGCGCCATCCCCGCCGCCAACAGTACCAGAGGAACCAATAGAGAACTTATTGCCGCCAGAAGGAAATGGGTTTGAAGTGGTTAGAAGAGGTAACGGTGAGAAGAACGTCATCAGAGAGCATGTGATTCGGGCGAAACTGTGAAAATACGATCAAACGCATAAGACTTGGGCCACAATACACCGGCTCACATATATGGCAGCTTAGTATGTACGAGATGCTCATTCAATTACTGCCTCGGATCGACTGATATCTGTGTGTTTCACTCTCAGACTCGCCACCATAACGCTTCTGACTCTTGCTGCTTACGTTTGATGATCTTTCACTCATACTGCAAACACTCCGAGTGTCACTCGCGTCATTCCGGGTCCGTACGCGTCGTGTCACTAGAACTAACGCCCTTTACTCCATAGACCCGCTTACATCTCTCATGTACTCTCTCACCGCGCCCACTACCTCACACTGATCTGCAACATGAAAGTCCACCTACTTTCATGTCTCGCCGCGTTTCAGAGCCTCGTCGCGGGTGAGGCTCTAACGCCCTCCGTCAACGAGACGTCACTCGATCTCTCCAGCCTGGTCACTGAAGACGGTCATAGCCTACTCAAAAGAGCACCCATCGCGCCAGCAAACGACTTCCTATGGGTGACTGCCGGTTGCCGCGGCCAGAAGCTCCAGCTAATGGACACCCTCAATCCACAAGAAGCGCAGCAATTCGGTACTCCACTGAACAGTCCATGGACTGGGACACTTGTCAACGAGCTTGCGCTGTGGGGCTACCTAGACAACAGCGAAAACAGAGATATCAAAGACGAATGCGACTTCACCATGAAGCCGATGTTCGAAACCGCACTGAAGGCTCTTGGAATCAGCGCGAGGAGTGCCCCGGATGGCGGACCGAACAAATGTTTCTCCTACGTCCACAGAGACAGTGCCGCCGTTCAGCGGTTGCCAAACGGCCAGCTGCCAGCCAGAAACCAACAGCAGTACGTCGTCAACAGTAGAAGCTACAGGATCACAGGCGCATTCCACACCATCGGCATCAACGCGCAAGACGGCGTCATCCACATGATCAACCGCCGGTCAGCCCAATCTGCGGCCAAACAATTATGGAACATCGCCCAAGCTCCAAAAGACCAGCTGCCCGCCCTAGCTTCGAGTTCAGACATCGCCTGGGGACTATGGGAGAGGATGAGCCCCGGCAATCTCGCCAACATCAACTACATCTTCTCCCACCGGATCACCAACGAAGAGACACGCGCCATCATCGCGCGCGCTCTGGAAGGCCGAGAGGTACGACCCTGGCCGGGAGAGGTGTTCGAAGCTGGAATGGCTACGGAATACTGGGCTTTGTTGGGTATGTTCCACACGGCCTCTTGCTTGCAGAATGTTACACAGTGCTGATGTATGACTTCTAGGATCACCCAACGGCATCGCGGCAGGCTACCTGCTCGGACAACATAAACCCCAGTTTGGCCACAACAGATACGTGTCGGCTATACATGTCTTCCAGGGCGCACCGGGAAGTCCCTTCATGGGGGTACCAGCGCTGCCGTATATGTGCTTCGTTGTTAAGCCGGCGCCGTATCCGCCGCCACCTCCTCCGCAGGAGATTCAGATGCGAGATGTTGCGCTGAATGAGCCTGTTGCTATCGAAGAGGACGAGGATCGAGTGGTAGCGCGGTCTGAAGACGGGAAGAGCATTGTGAGGAGTCATAAAGTGTTTGCAAAGTCGTTATAGAGAGGCGGAGGGATAGTTAAATTGGAGAAGGCAAAATCTCGATAATGTTTTCTTGTACGCATCATCGCTTCTGGAATTTAGGCGTACATTGAGTGCTTTCAATAGGGCTCGCTTTGTGCTAGTGATCGCATGCTCTCGAACCGAACCGATGTTATCTAACCATCCAAATGTTTCCTTCATGTACACAAAACCATCTACTTGAGGCGCAGCATTGAAGGCCGGTTTCTACGTACCTAGTCTTAGCGACCTGCAAAGAGCACATGTCGTCTTACAAGACTTGTACCATCCCCATCAACAAGGTCCGACTCCACCAATCCAGTGCCCTTATCCTTGCCCTTGTCCTTATCTTCAGGCTCCGCCATCTCCGGCGGCGGCGAAGGCACATCGTCGACGTAAAAGAGAATGTTTCTCAGCGGGTCTTCCTTATCGGTCAGGAAGACGTTGATCTTGGAGATGTACTTGTCCTTGCCCAACTGGCGCTTGTGTTGCGCAAGGAAATAACCTGCGGCTCGACCGTTCGCGGAACCTGTTGAGCGATCTTGTTAGTAACTGAAGGTAGAACGAGATGTTGATGGGAGACACTCACCGATAATCGCTAGTCCTTCTTCCGACTTTGGATCAATCTCCGTTCCCGGCCACTTCTTCAGCTCTTTGACTTCCTGTTTAGCGATCGCTTTATCGATGATAGCTTGCGTCTCTTTGTTGTTGATGTACAGGCTGAAAATCTTGCGGATGTCACCAAGGTTATCCTTTCCGCGTAGCTTATTCCAGAGGCCCCATGCGAAGTCAGAACTGGCGCGCAGCTCGGGTAGCTCAGAGGTCTTTGGGGTGTATTTCCAGAGCATCTTTGCGGTTTCGAAGGGGCTACTGCGCGAGACAAAGAAGAGTACGCCCGCCTTGGGATTGACGCCGAACGTGTACGTGGAAGCTGTGCACTAGGCTCTGTGTCAGTCACCCCTGTGATTTGCTATGCTATTCGGCTTAGCAGGCTGATGCGCAAACCCAACTTACCCGCTGCCTCTTGCCCGATGGATCAAGATAGTATTGTTTGTCGATTGGCAACATCCGACCATCGGGGTCATCCAGGTAGAAGGGATCTTTTGGATCAAAGAGAACGGCCGGACTGTTGTAGTGGAAGGCGCTGAAACACTGATTGTCTCCTCCGTCGTCGAGCGACTTATCGCTGATGCTGAGACCTTTGAAAGCGGTCGTCATCCCTTGGTGACCGAAGGCGCACCAAGAGTCCTCGTCTTCCCACATATCCCAAGCCCATTTCAATCCCTCTGCCTCGAGGCTGCCGTCCCAAGGGCTGTTGAGGGGGTCGATGTAACGTGTGCCTTGATTGCCGTCTCTGGTCATCGCGAGGAAGAGTTTCTGGCCTCGACATACCGCCTTTTCATACTCTTCATCGCTGATTGCCGAGGTATGGACGACGAAGCCGGGGTCCGCAGGGTTGTAGCCAGCAAAGTCGATTGGAATGGTGTTCCTCCTGGAACCGTGAAGGGCTGAGATGTTTAAGAGAGGCCCACGTGGCGGGCTAAGACGCTCACTTGCGACCAAAGCGACTAATCCCGTCCATGACAAGAAATTGAGTGCCTTCATCGCGGCGGAAATGGAAGAGCGCGGTAGTGTGTGACTAGTTGAGGCTGAGCGACGGACGGGAACGCGAAAGCGGGGGAGCAGAAGAACAAGTAGTTCCGGCGGGAGGTGGGGAGGTGGAGGGTGAGCAGCCTGGATATAATCTTTGCCTAAGGTGCACGAGCAGTCGAAGGTGTAGAGCTGGGGGCCCGACCCACACTGCGTTCCAAGCGTACTGCGAAAAAGGGTTAGTTGCAAGCGACTTTACTGTCATTCCGTTTCACTCAACAGTACAAAATATCACCGCCACTGAGATACAGTGAAGGCGTTACCTGCTCAGCAATGACACTGGCCTTGGGCCCTCGACTTTCGGAACCTAGAAACCCACGACGGGTGTTTCCACCTCTTCTCCCACGCGTGCAGTCATGCTGCCCGTCGCCGTGAGTCAGAGAACAGTCTGGGTGATGTCAATAGCATGAAGCCGAGATGTCATAGTTGCAAGCCTTTCCTGGCCTTCGTTCCATCAGCTGTGGTTATCTCATCTTTGTCCGCTGAACCATATCTCTTAGAGCTCTGTTTTTCCGACCATGCGAATCGAAAAAATTCGTCGAAAATGATCAGTATTTCTTTACGGTATTGTTGCGCGGGCGTTCGTTGTAGATGCGACAAAAGCTGTGTGCCATCATTACCTGCATAAGCTGGATTGCACTACATCAACAATGGAGACGCGACGTTCGATCCGTGATCCATTGCGAAAGTGAGCGATCAATTCTACTCAACATGCTGACAGAGAGATTGTGGACAGGTGTTGAGCTCCCTTCTGGTGAGATGGTGCACGATGTTGACAGACGCGCCTGGATTGATGCAGTTTAGCAATGATGGAAGCTCGTAGCGTTGGAGCATACCAATGTAGCTGGAATTGAGACAGAAGCAGCCTTTGAATAATGTAGGGAGCGGCGCATTCCATATCCGTTATTTTGGGTGTGGATGGTGAAGCTAAACGCGTCGACGCGTCGTTTGGTCTAGCCTGAGGCGGAATGACATATTAGTCAGCGGGAGATGTCGGGGCAGGTAAGCCGAGCGGTTAAGGCAGCACGCGTTAACACTGTCAACGGCTTCCATACACTCATCAGCAGATGCTTTATGTGCACGGTATCCTTTCGAGATATGTTCCATTCTGCACCTATTTATCACGCACATGTGCATTCGAACAGCCTTTAACTACAGCCTACCCCACCCTTCGTCGACCCTTTCGCCGCTTCATCTCCGATCCGCGTCTCTGCGCTGTTGGACTTCTGCTATGACACCGCTTACATTTACAGTCCTACACGAATCACATGCTCTCTAAGCACACTCCGTCCATCCACGCCCCTTCTCAGTACCTTCTTCTCCTCCAATCCTTCAATAACGCCGATTGCACCCACATTCGAGACGTCCGCCAGCCGCGCGCCACCGACCTCTCCATAAAGATTGGGTGCATCTCTCACCCAAAAGATCATGGTCGGATAGTCGTCATCTGTAAAGGGTTGCCGCGCTTTGAAGACTGTGATCTTGGAGATCATCTTGTCACCTCCTCGTTGCTGTTTGTGCTGAGCAAGGAAGAATCCGACTGCTACACCGCTCGGAGAACCTGCAGTACAGTCTGTCAGCGCTATATCCCTACAGCTTTCCCCATCAATAACAGGGGTGTGGCAATAGCTTTCATGCCGAACACACTGGACATACCTAAGATAGCGACGGCTTCGACAGAGGTGATGTCGAAGTCAGTTCCTGGCCATTCCTGGATACTGTCCACTTTCGTGTGCCACGGTGGCGGCCTATAGGTCGTGATGGCGAGGTTCAGAATGCCCAATATCTGCTCACTGTCGGCACTCAGACCCCAGAAAGCTGTGGTTGGAGTATTGTGCGGTAATCGATTCCAGAAGCCCCATGCCAAGTCAGCATTACTTCGCAAGGCCGGTAGGTCTCTCGATTTCGGTGTGTTTTCACAGCGGTCTTCCAGTGCAGTGGGGATGTCGAGTCCGGCCATCTGCGCCTCCAATCAAGATACCATTGCATTTGCTTTGGATGAGTACTAATCCCTTTCTCTCCGGTGCTTGAGTGTTCACTCCACCGGCTGTTTGATGAACAAACAAACATGCTGGCAGCGAAAGATCACGACTGTCACTAAGCGAACTTAGCGTCCGCGCGCCATCATGAAGATGTGGAAGGTACCTAGGTATGCTCGCGTTCTTTTCCATTGAATGAGACTGCGCTCTGATGAAAACCAGCTTTCCTGCTTCCTAATTGTGACTGCATCCAAATCATTCATGAGCCTCTTGCGAGCGCACTGCTCCAGCCCCACAAGCCAGTAGACACGACGGTGGGAGAGTTGGCATGGGGCTTGGTTCGTAGTACCGTCGCCTTCAACTATTGACTTTTGCCAACTCGTAATTACCATGGCAACATGAATCAGATAAAGATGCGATTCTCACGATCACAGTCGGATGCCCGGGCACGCATAAAGTGTAGTCGTTCTTAACTTTTCCCGATGCAGTAGTCCGTGGTGCGTACTTCTGGGGAAGGTTTGCCGAACCCCGCATTACCGTGTACACACACGCGTCTAGCCAGCGCTCGCGTCGAGACTATCTCAACGAGCAATTGAACTTGGTTATAAGCAGCAATAAGTTACGATGTTCTTTCAGACAGTTGACCAGAACCCATCTTCTTACAAATCCCCATCATGAACGGCCATGCGGAACCGAGCAAGCGTCAACGCTTCGACGTGCCTGCCAAGATGAAAGCATTACAGTAGGCATGCTCGGCGCGTGACATACGATGTCTCATTGCTAAGATAATCAAGATACTCTGGCCCCGAGAAATTCGCAGTCGAGACCATCGATGTTCCAACAATCGGTGATGATGATGTTCTTGTACGACACACTATTCATCACCCCGCGGTATTTGCTGCATTAACACACGAAAGGTCAAGATCTCAGCCTGCGGTGTATGCGGAACAGTAAGTAGAAGAATTGGAGAAAGTCTTTGGGGTATACATCATACTGACCACCTTGAAGGATTTGCATTACCAGTAAGCTTCGGATGCGAAAAGCTTGCGACGCATGCACTGACTCGGCATGTTCACATCTGCAGCAAAGGCGAGTTTCTGGCAAAGGTGAGATCATCAAGAAATCATGTATTGAACAAAGCTGACTTTCTTGAAGTATCCTTTGATACCCGGTACGAGCGATCGTTCACTTCTCCACACACCTCACTCACCTCCCCAGGCCACGAAGCAGCAGGCACCGTCGCTGCTATCGGCAGGGACGTTCATAACGTCGCGGTTGGTGACCGCGTAGCAGCCGACGCCTTACAGCCATGTCTGAACTGTTTCTACTGCACGCGCAGAAAGACGCAACTCTGTGAGAATGTTATCGGATATGGCGGTAATGTTCCGGGTGGTTTCGCAGAGTACTGCAGATACCCAGCCCGTATGGTTTTCCCTATTGGAAACCTTCCGGATCTAGAGGCCGTCTTGCTCGAACCCGCCGCATGCGCAGCGCATGGTATTGAGAGAATGCAGATGGAAGTCGGAAGCAGAGTACTGCTTTTTGGGTGCGGACCGACCGGCATGCTGTTAGCTCAATTGATCAAGATGAATGGCGCTGCTCATGTATGCAGCACGTCCAAAAGTTAAGCGTAACTGCTAACGCGACCTAGTTGACCATCGCTTCAAAAGGCGGCCCGAAACTCGATCTCGCGCGCGTACTCAACATCGCCGATTCCTACATCACAATATCCGACGATAACCCCGGAGATGACATGGCTGCGCTCTCGACCGACAATCCCTACGGTTTCGATATTGTCGTGGAAGCCACAGGCGCACCAACAGTTCTGGAAAGGTCCATCGAGTACGTGCGTAAAGGCGGTAAGCTGGTGGTTTACGGTGTCTACGACGAAAGTGTGAAGATTGCATGGTCGCCCTTCCGGATCTGGGAAAATGAGATCACGATTCTGGCTAGCTTCTGCAGCATGAGCCATATACCGCATGTCTTGGAGTATGTGAATGCTGGGAGATTGAAGTTGGGTGGCATTGCGAACAAGACGTATCGAATCGAGCAATGGGAGGAGTGCCTGGACGCGGTGAGGAAACAAGAGGTTGTCAAAGCTGCTATAGTGTTTGACTGATGCGAATCGTGGTAGTAAGAAAATAGATGGAGAACCTCAAGGCCTCACAAACGACATATCTCTAAACGGTATAGGCGAGGTTCGGAAGTGTATTAGCGTGGCGCTCCTAAATCTATAACTACTTATGAGTACATCTTCTTGTGGAAGTCGGTATTCGCCAGATCCACAGCCCGCTTCGTAGCCTCAATGAGGTCCTCCTTTGGAAGTCCCAACTCATCATTGTTTAGCTTGTGGTCCCTTTCGAACAAACCTGCCTCATCGATGAAGTACCTCGTGTACAAAGCTGTCGCAAAAGACATGCGATCACCCATCATCATCTTCTCCCTGGCGGTGGCCAAGCGCTGCTTCAACGGCTCCGACGTAATCTTCCAGTCTTTCTCCGTGGTGCCAGTAACCTTCTGTACCGCCTCGAACATCTCGCGCTGGTTGAGGGCGAAAGACGATACGAAGGTCATGCGGTTGCGGTACTGCTCCAGTGTCGGCCCGTTGTCATCAGATGCCGATACTGGCAGGGATAGCAAGTTCGCCACAGCAAGCCCAGTCTGGGGCCATGTGGCAGTGTTCAGTCGCTGCTTCCCATCGTCAAAGTACACAAGCTCTCGTTTCGGGATATCGATGCCGAAGTAAGCGCCGCTGAGAGAGTACTCATACCAGAAGCCGGAGGTTACGCCTATCCAAGAAGAAACCCCGAGCGACTCGATGAGGTTGCGAGCGATCGTCTTGCCAGGCCCGATGGTTTCGTTTTGGATCTCTTCCGTGTTGTACATGCCGAACTCGTTTGGTAGAATCCATGGTACTCCAGCTTGGGCTGCTCCACGAATGAGCTTCTCCTGCGCATTACCACCGAAGACACTCATTGTGATGACTAGTGCATCTTGTCCGGTCAGAGCTTTGACTATGGTGTCTGGACTGTCGTAGTCGATGCGTGCGACGTTGACGCCGGATGGGAAGGTGGCTTTGGACTCCATACGCGTGACGGCTGTGACGTTGAAATGGTTCTTCGCAAGGAGGGCTGAGGTAATGTATGAACCGACGTTGCCGTTGGCACCGACTATGGCGATTTTTTTAAGTTTGGATAGCAACGCCATGTTGCTACGTGTGCGAACGAAGGGGTTCTGTGGTTATTGGTAGAGTGAAGAAAACAGAGGCTTGCCCAATTGTCACTTCAACACTCGGGACTGACTTCCTTTTATACACGTCTTGAGGTACATTAGGAAGAATCGATGTTGAGAGGCATACGGTCGGTATTCGGTCGTAACCTTCTAACTCCGCCCATGCATAGACAAGAAGGTGCTCCCATGCTGCAACCAGTGTAGCTCGATGAGCCAATACACACAATGTCGACTGGCAACACTGATGGAGCTGGTTTCAGGCCCCCAGATCCATATAGGGCAAGCTAAGTGTGCACCGAAGTCCGATCGCTGACATGATCCGTCCGAGCTGGATAGGCGTTAAAGCGCGAGCACCGAAGTGTGTGGTGATGTCATTTACAGATTCGGTTAGCGCGTGTGGGTAGCGCCCGGGCGCCCATCTCCACATCCGCGGTCAACGATGTCCGCGCATGGAAGACGCGTCAAAAGAAGGGGTGACGGACGTCCTCCCGACTTCTCGTCATGCGAGTTTACCCCAACCAGGTCAAATGTTACGCAATGCTCGTTCCGTCTCTGTCATTTCGCTGGAGTCTTGCGCGAACGAGTGCCACGCCGCTTAAGTGTGGCCGCCTAAAGACAGCAGCTCAGCTGCAGGCGTTCGCTGCAGGCGTTCGCCAATCATGTGTGTCTTGCACAGCCCCTCCACCAGGGGACGAAAGTCTCAGGCCAGCCTGATTCTCTTCAGCAATCGCGACAGCATTGCCTCGACAACGACGCAAAGCCTGCGACATGACGGTTATTCAGGATTACCAGTACGGACCACTCGCAGACGATGACAACACACGTTTCATACAGTTGTACCCCGCGGCGCACTTCGAAGATCCCATACGCGTGGACATCGTCGAACGGGCGTATGATGCCTCCAGGACGCAAGACCCAGTCGGCTACGAAGCTTTATCGTATGCTTGGGGCTCAGATGAAGATTCGGCGTACGTCTTTGTTGGGGCGAACTCTCGCTTGCGTGTCCGTCACAATGTTACCCAGATCCTGAGGTACCTGAGGGACGGTATTACCCCAGGATGTACTGTCCGAACCCTGTGGATTGACGCTATATGCATCAACCAAGCGGACGACGAGGAGAAAGGAAAGCAGGTTACCATGATGGGAAAACTCTACGCATGTGCTACGAGTGTGCTGATCTGGACTGGAGAGCCCGGGTGCGATTTGCAAGCGCTACAGCGCAGCTTTGAACGAAAGATAGAATACACGCGCGATGGGGAAGCTCGCTTCATGCAGTTCTTTGAGACCGGATGGTTTACGAGGCGCTGGGTAGTCCAAGAGATCATGCATGCCCGCGAAGCCTACATCATTTCGGGTAGTGGCACAATGCAGTGGCAGCAGTTCCGTGTCTTTGTCGAACATCTGGAACAGAACGTTTCCTACGAAGCAGTGACACCACATTTTACGGCAATCTTGCATCGCTTGAGCAATCTCACTGCAGTACGAGATACCAAGTCTGACGAGCTGTCTCAGTGCGATGAAAATACTACTGGTGCCCAAACGGATCGTATCGTAGCTGGAGCCGAAAATATGACGACACTTTTGACACGGTTCTCTACTACCAGATGTGCAGATGATCGCGACAGAATCTATGCACTACGAAGTCTCAGTTCGACATCAATTGTAGTCGACTACCAAGTCTCAGTCAATGAGCTTTATGATCGGTTGAGCAAGATCGAAGTGATCCGATTTCCAATGGCCATCATGAGCTGCGCTGGGTCCTTCGGTGGACTCGCTGCTTCATGGGTCCCGGATTGGAGGTTACCCATGCGATACAGGCCTTTCCAGTCATCTCTCAAGTACGAATGCTCAACTCTGCCAGTAGGGGTGTCATTGGCTACCGTTGAAAATAGCCTGCTCACGATACAGGCGACCTTTGGTGGCGTCGTCGATAGTGTCGTAGATCCGCCAGGACCCGAACATGAGACAGAAGAGAGGACCCTGTACCGATGGGGTAATTACTTCGTCCAACATCACGCCATCGGTACGCCAGAGCAGAAATCGATGGATGCAATGATCTTGTATTGTGCTCTGCGTGTGATACCCATGGAAGACGATGTTGCGGATCCGCATCCCTCTCCTTACAAAGCACAGCTGCGATCTCGTTGGGAAAACATACTCCGTCGTTGGAATTCATACGAAAAATGGAATAGGAAAAGGAAACCCATTTTACGCCTGTTATCCGAAGCAAACAGGATAGGCCTCGCCCACACAAAGGAGGGCCGCTCGTGCTTTTTCACAAGTGCTGGGCTGTTCGGAATAGGACCAGACACGATACAGATCGGCGACTACCTTGTCAACATGCCAGGATGCGACTCCATGATGGCACTACGTCCGGTCGATGCTGAGAAGAATCTCGAGCAGATGTATGGGGACATGGGGTCATCTCAGCATCCGGCTATGACGGTCGTCGGCGACTGCTGGATACCTGAACTCGTCAAATCTAATAGGGAAAATACTGCATCTAATCTTCGCACTTTCCACATCGTGTAGAAGGACAAAGTCTTGCAGTATCTGTACGTGACCTGCTCAACGAACATCTTGCACTAGCTGATAATATAGATGCCGCATCACTACAGAATCACTCCACAAGCGCGATCCTCACACTTATGACTGCGGAACAAAATCACCACCCGGAGCTTCACCTTCATGGTCAACCCCTTGGTGCTCTTCTTCAACATATTCTTCATCTTCATCTTCCTCTTCCTCAGTTCCATCACCCATGACCTCCGCATTCTCCGCATTTCTTTGCGGCCTCGTCCGGCGAGGTCGTCTGACAAATATTGCACCTCTTTGCGGTGTGTGTGGATTGTTTGGCGCTCGAGTAATCACCGGTGTGCGATGTGGTCCACTCTGCATCGGCACTGACCATGCGGCTCTTGCACGCGCCTCACCCCTCGATTGATCCCGACACATACCCGTCGAACTTGCACCTCGCCTTCCTAAACCAGGTGAGGGTGGACGAAACTCATATCCCATATGCCCCCGCTCCCTATATTCGAAACCACCATACCCTTGGCCCATTCCACCGAAAGGCTGATTGAGATTCTGATGGTGCTGGAAATGCTGGGGCCTTGGAGCTGGTGGAGCTGTGTAGTACTCATCCTCGGAAGGTGTATTCCAAGCCGAGGCGGCAAACGGATCGGGCCATCTTGGATGTTCGTGTGCATAATAGCGCGGTTCTGGTCGGGCTGCGGGCATTCCCAGCGGGGCTTGCGCCGTGACGGATGTGCTGAGGCCTGCCATAATCCTTGCCCAAGCATGCAAAGCATCCAGTTCACGAATGAATCTGTGGAGCTCGGATTGCTCGATGAGGAAGTATGTTGATCGCATGTTGGATGGTGTTGTATGAGCTTCGGGGAAGTACACGATGAATCGCATTGTCCAGGTTACTTGATGCTCTGATATATACTCGTTCGAAGTGAGATGCGCTGGGCTAGATTGCTGCGTTCGTAAGCCACGTCTACAGATTGCCTCCTCACAGACGAGAGAACGAAAGCATTCTAGAGTGTTTGATGGACACACGGAACTTGGTTGACATTTCATATCAGAGTTGTTCGCTAGCTCACACTATACACAAGTTTCTATCAGCCGATCGTCGCCGTCTGCCTGACCCCCATGTACTTGCGATGTATTGTGTAGGCCCGTGCTACTTACTCGTGTACATCGTTCTAGGTTATTCCTCAACGGTAGACAAGCTAGACTTGGGAATCTCACAGCCGATACGCATGCTAGCTCGGTAACACTCATCTTTTATCAGACTCATTCGGCGGCAATGTCAAGTAACCAATAACCGCCTCACCAAACGGCGTCATCCCCAACACTTTTCCAATCCCAACTGATCTTGCTCCTGCTGTCTCATTCTAATTGCCTCTCCCATATCGCAAACACCCTGAAGACTAATACTATTACAACAGGCAACCAAAACGCTATCAGACCCCTATCCACATTCGTGAACCGTGACACACCACCTACACTGTCTAGCTGACCCGGATGTAGATAATCCTGCGTATAGAGCAGCATGCGCACGGCGATGTAGTGAGTAGCGTAAGCAGCAAGGCTGGCCGCGTACGCGATTTCGAACAAGGAGAGGGCGAGTACGATGGGTAAGAGGACGAGGGGTGGTAGAGCGCGTTGGTCGGGCATCTTGTGATCTGCAGGGTGGTGGAGGACGATGGGTTTAGACAAAGTTAGTGAAGCTTCAAGAAGACGGGAATGCAAGTCACAGCAGAGTAAGATGTGATGAATGTTTTATCGTATATTTTCTAGTCTGTTTTCTTTTCCCCCGTTTCCCTGTTGATAATCGCGCCCTTTACATCAAGCGGCCGCGGTGATAATGTTGATGATGATGAACATGCAACCCCGTTCGCGTCGCTTAGCCGCAAAGCTGCAAACGGTACTAGCGATGATGCAGCCCGTGAAATGTGTGATGGTAATGTCGTCGAACGCAGAAGTGAACGCAAAAGAGAAAGATAAAGGAAAATGGAGAAAAGCAAACGCCGTGCTTTGTTCTTCCGTGAACTGTGTCCGCCCAGTATGGTATCGTAATGCGAGTAACCAAACGCCTCGCTGTGTTCTTCCGTGAACTGTTGCCGCCCAGTGTGGTAATGTGAAGCAGATAATCAAACGCCGTATGCAATGAGTAAAAGTGTAGCCCGATGCCGGTCGAGATGTCCTGTAGCCAAACACCGAATGCAAAGACTGCGAGGTAATCCTGCAGCCAGACACCGAATGCAAAAACCGCGAGGTATCCAGACGTCGATCAGGATGTCCTGTAGTTAAACGACAATAGTGTGAGAGTGAGATGTGTCGGCCTGCCATGAAGGTGTCCAAGCATGCCTCGAACGGATGTGGTGATGTAGTCTTAGAACGAGTTGTCGGGGATGTTCGACTTCGCAGGCTCATAGCCGGCGTAAGGGCCGGCGTAAGGGCCAGCGTGCTGCATCTGCCAGTGCAACTCCGCAGACTGCTCGCTCTTCTGAGCTTCTTCCTTAGCCTCGTTGGATGCGAGCCAGCTTGTGAGCTTAGACCTGAGTCTCTGGTCGTCTGGATCCTCTGTGTTCTCCGGCTGCTGCTCTGTAATTGGCTGCGCGAACTTGGCTACCTTGGTGGCTGGGCTGGCCTCATCGTCGTCAGAACGAGGCCTTTTCAGCTGAGGCGCCGGTTGTGTTTGCTGAATACGTTGTGTCGGTGGCTCCTGATGTTGTTGAGCTTGTGGAGCTTGCAGAATACGTTGCGTCTGCGGCTTCTGATGTTGCCGAGCTTGTGGAGCTTGCAGAATACGTTGCGCCTGCGGCTGTCGATGTGGCTGAGCTTGTGGAGCTTGCGGAATACGTGGCGACTGCAGCTGTCGATGTTGCTGTACTTTTGGAGTTTGCAGAATACGTTGAGGTTGTTGCGCGAGCTGTTGCGGCTGCAACACCTGCTGTAGCTGCCCGGCTGGTTGATGCTGCTGCATTTGTTGCAGTTTCTGCTGTTGTAGCTTCTGCGCGTTTTGCATCTGCTTGTAGACATCGCAAAGATGCTGCTTTTGCTGTGTTCCGGAACCCTGTCTGAATCGTTGCAACTTCTCAGGACTGAACGAGCTGATGTATTGCTGTGTAAATCTGTTGAAGTGTGCCTGTCGCGCTGCCAGCTGTTGCGCTGCCAGTTGCTGCGCTGCCAGTTGCTGCGCTGCCAGTTGTTGCGCTGCCAGTTGTTGCGCTTCCTGTTGCTTTGCCTGCTGCGCCGCCATCTGCTGCCCGCGCGCCTTGTGAATCTCTTGCTGTTTACGTTGCTCGATTGCGTTCCTAACGATCTCGTTTTGCTTCTGGGAAGGCAACTGTTGAAACTGTTGCTTTGCCTGCGGGTCCAACCTCTGGAAATAGGCCATTCCAAACAGGGCAAACTGGCGGTTCTGACGTGCCTGAGCTTCCTCGCGAGTGGGAGGCTGCGCTTGCATAGTGGTCGGGCGCGGCTGTGATTGAGTTGATATGGCCTGACGGCGCATGTACTCGGCCATCATCTGCGGACTCATTTGCTGGCGCGTCTGCGGGCTCATCTTGGGAGTCGGCAGCTGCGCTTGAAGAGGAAAGGCCATCGCGGGATTGTGCGGTGACTGAGTCTGATAGCGACCGAGTGCGCCCTGTGGGGTTTGCGGACCGCTGGTGTAGCTATTCACGGAATCCCGCCTGATGGTGTCGTCGTTTGCTGCCATGACGAGCAACTGGTGTGGGCCGAAAGAGCAAAGGTCAAGGGTTGTAAAGATGAGAGTAGCGGATGAAAATACTCAAGTTGTGGGTGATGGGGATCAAAATAGAGGGCTGTGATAGTCAAGATGGTGGGATGTGAGAGTTTGAGTTGAAAGAAGGTGACAAGGCGGAAAAAGCCAGACTATATGGCCTCTGTGTGCGCATTACCACGCTCACCTAACCGAACGGAGCGAGAGATATTGCGAGAACAGGTGACTCAGTCGGACGGCCGACCACAATAGAAGCGAAAGGACAAGTGAGAGTGAGAGGGAATAGCAATGGCCGCGCTGCTACTGGCTGCCCGGTAGTCGTCGACCAAAGAATTCAGGGTCCAGTGATCAAGTCCCTTAACGCCGACATCCCATGAGTCTGACAGCGTCCAGGAGGTTGAAGAAATAATTAGTCGCAAAGAGACCTACATATAATAATCCTGCGAGACTGACGATTCCAACGATATCGATATTGAGCTAGTATGCGGGAAAGTGAGAGCGGGAGCACGGGCCTCTGGAGCGACTTAGAATGCGTGCGGGTTCGCGTAGGGACGGGCAATGCAGGCACGTTTGTCAGCACATGCTGTATCGAATCCAAGGGTGTTAACAAGCGGATGGCTCTTGCACATCGTTCCAAAATTCTCGTAAACTTGCTAGTGCGCCAGAATACCACAAAGATGCCGCGGTGTTTTACACACTCCGGCAGCCCCAAAGCGCCCAAAATAGGTAAATCAAACAAAGTGCGCTCGTCTCGACCTGTGTGACAATAATCAATATGACATCTTCAGACTTCCAGTCCGAACCATGGTTGAGCCCCAGTCTTGAACGTGGACCAGCGTCTATACGTAGCCTGCCAACACGCGTCAGCCCACAGTGCCCCAAACTCCTCTCATGATGAGAGAGCTGTCATATAATACCTTTCCTGGCGCCCTGGAAAAAGAAGCGGACAATGAAGACCTGCAGTCCTGCCATGGTCATAATCAAGCCCGACTCCATCAAACTGAAGTTGAGTATCCTCTTCTCGGTGCTCTTGACGGTGCTGAAGTTGCGGTTCTCGCGCGTGCGGAAGTATTTCTGGTTGCGGGAGATGGTGGAGAGTTGCGCGGAGAGCTTGAGGATGGATTCTTCGAGGACAGAGGTCTGCTCAGGGGAGGAGCCCTGCTTGGATGGGATCTTGGCACGGGCGGCTTCGTTCTCAACCTAGAAGAACATGGAGTCAGCATTATGGTTCGGCGATGTCTAGAGAGATATGGCCAGGTGGTACGTACGGCAATCTCGAAATCGACCATCTTCTCGGCGAACGTGCTCATCTCATTGTTGAAGCAGAAGCGGTATTCGCCCACGTCAAGCGCTGTGAAGACGAAATCGCCCTGTCGCTCCTTGGTGCCGTCGAGAATGACTTTGTCTGTGGGGCCGACAACCGAGTAGTCGACATCGAAAGAGCCTCCGGATTGCACCTGTTCACATGTCCGTCAGCTCAATTATCCTAGATGCTGCTGCTACTGTATGGCAATATGGGTTTGAACAGCCCAAAGCAATTGCGCATTGGTCTTCTGGGTGGAACACATACTGCAAAGTAAAAGGCCAGCTTGGTCCCCTTGTTCTCAACGGTCGCGAAGAAGCATGCTTTCTCGTGCGCTTCTAATCGGTAGGTGAGAGCGGTTGCGTACACAGCCGTGGTATATGCCAGCAACGCGCTGAAGAGGGTGAGTAGTGACCGCATCGTGTTCGTTGGCGTGGACGACTGCGTTTGTTGATGCGTGCTCGTGTGTTGGAAGTTACAGCTGTCGACATCGAACGTCGGCGGTAGTTTTTGCCGACGCAACGCATGCAGGGAGGGAAGGCGCGGGGAACGAGCCACCAGCCAATGAAGATCAAGGCGACCGCGGACAGGTAGCGCGAAATGCAGATCCTCGACGCGTAGTCAAGTCACACTTATCATGTTGCGCGTTCATTTGAACCTATTGCGACTGCTAATAGTTTTCATCTTCATTTTCGGAATTGAGAGCCGTGGTATATTGTTACGTTGTTCCTTCCCGGATAGGTGGCTGGTGTCTGGTACCATGGGATGGGTGGAAAATTCAGTCGACAATCACAGTGCAAGTTACACTGGTGACATGAAAGCAGAACGATGATATCTTTGAGACTAATCTACACTGCTTACTTACTGATCCAAAATGATACGCCATAATCATGTGCCCAACGCCTGCGCCAACCTCCCACGCACGCTACTCCGCCTATGCAATACTTGCAATATTTCAAGCTCCATTGCGCCATGTATGTTGGAGGGTGCGCAACCAACGCTTTATTGCCACTCCCTGTGAAATGCTGGCAAAACTTTGCGGACAATCTCATGCCGATCGTACCCGTGCCGAGTAATGTCGCGCACCGTGCTTTTCTTCGTATCTTACACAGTCATTGCGCTGCTTCAACGAATGAAGATGGAATCAGTCTTTCCCCAAAGCGTCTTTGTCTTGGCGGGGTGTTCAAGACCAAGTGATACATCGTCACGCGCACCTACCAAGTCCCAAAGTACTTCATCTGTGACTTCGTCAGTGCTGCAACATCATCATTGCCAAAGTGGCTTACCGTCATCGATTGGCTCAGGCTTCGCGTATTGACCCTTGCCGACAAGAGAAAACTTGATCTTGTCCAATTGCTTGCCCTTGATCTTGGTGAAGTCTGAGAGTCGTTGTTTTGTTTCGCTAAAAGGCTCGCCCTGATGTATGTTAGTGCAAGTAGAGGAGGTAGGCTGATGGCTGCGCGTACCTCTTTCAGCGCAAACTGGAACGGGATACCATGTGCCTTCGATGGCTCCCTGTCAAAGTGGAATACCGAAATCTTCTTCGATGCATCGTCTTCGGGGTAAGGCGCAGCAAAGATTGACGTGTAGTCGTAGAGGCTCATGACAGAGTGATCTAGCGGGAGGACCCTGTGGAACTTGTTCACATGTGCCTCGTAGACCCGCACCTTTTGCATCACCTCGTCGCTGATGCCCGCTTTCTTTTGCAGCGCTTCAACGAGATCCGCGACTTGGGCATTCTTGGGTACCATCAAAGTGTGCTCCTCCTGTACGACGTTAGTTTGAAGAAAGAGCAATGACTGAGTTCAACTCACCTCTTTGCTGAGACCCTCAGGGAGCCACACCACCTTTACAGGTTTCCTCAGCTCTAGTTCCTTCAGGCTCATATCCAAGACCTCGTAAAACAGGGCATCGTTTCGCTGATTTGCGCTTGCCGAATAGTTGTATGGGCCAGGGAAGAGGATGTTGTTCAGAGTTGACGTGGGGTTGTACTTGACAGGGTTCTTGGGCTTGCCAGCAGTGCTAACCGTCGAGAAGCGGATATAGCTAGAGTCGGTTTTGAGGTACTCAGCCACTTTGCTGGAGAATTGGTCATACGCCATCTTTTTGCTGAGAGTCAAGGAGAATGTGGGTAGATCTGTATCAGGCAGCTTAGGCACGAACTCAATGCTGACTCTGTTCAAGAGGTAGTCGTAGAATTCCTTTGCCTCGGTGTAGCCTCCCGCAGTGGTTATCTGTGCGGTTTCCTTGTCGCTCAGTACGCGCTGGACCGTGATGATGTCACCATCTTGTATCTCCGAGGCTGCCAGTGTGACTTTTGGCTTCATCGCTTCGATCATATTCTGTTTGATCTCCTCAGAAAGCTTGATCTGCGTACCCGCTGGCCAGCCCAGCATCTTTGTGATTGCTGGAGTTAGATCGGAAACCTTGTCCTGGAATCCGGCGTAGAAGGTGCCAACACCGAATAGACTCTGCTCTTCTGCGTCGAAGTGCTTCAAAAAGATCATCAATGGGCGGTTGTTAGCCTGACCCTTGAGGTCCACTAGCTTCTCGCCAAACACTGGCGCGCCGCTTTCGTCGCGTTCTTGAGCTTTCTCGATCCACATCCTGAACTGCGACTGTTTCGTGCCATGTTTGCTTGCAGCCTCTTCGACGGTCATCTCCGGGAATTCCAGTGCGGTATCGGGGCGAATTGTGCCGTTTTGTCTATTAACCATCGACCATGGCCGCAACATATCGGCTTCGGTTCCTAGATCTTGGGCGACCGTAACCGCAAAGTCGGCCATAGTTGTGCTTCGGAGCACACGGTAGACCCTTGGGCTAGCAGGTGTGTCTGCGTCGGCTTTCCATGGAACGATGTCAAAACCTTGGTGGGCCTTGAATTGTTCATCTGACGCGACCGCAACGTCCATGTACAGATGAGCTTCCTCGCGTTCCTTCTTCCTGCGCTCAAACAATGCCCGTTCTTCAGCCAGTCGTTCTGCCAGATGCTTCGGTGGTTCTACCGCCTTGCTGTCTATAAGAACTTGATCAAGCCTCGTCTCCCTAATGTATACCAACATGTAGGCGCTCATTGAGCGTTTTGCGGACCAGGCTCTGGTGTAGGGATTGCGTTGGCCAGTGTTCCCGTTGGCCTGGGCGTAGTCACCACCAAAGTTTTCTTCCAGCGCCTCACGTAGTGTCGCTCGAGTCACACGGTCGTCGTCGAATTTGTAATAGTGGCCGTCTTTCGTTGGCTTCAGGAAGGCGTAATAGTGACCAGCGTTGAGATCACCGCTGTGCACCAAGACGCCGTGGAGGTGGTATATCCAGGATTCGGATCGATCGGCTCCGTCGGAGAGATATGGCGCAGCGTCCCAGACTTCGGGGAATTCGTAACGGTCGTTCACCTTCATCATGGCGTCGCGCGTAAAGTCGTATTCGAAGCGCTTCAGCTGGAGATGTAGCACTGGCGGAAAACTCTCGAAGATGACACCTTTTTTAGCGTCTTGCAACCCAAAACCCTCTGCAAAATACTTATTTTCGCCGTCCATGGTCTCGACCTGCACGTAGTCTTTGAAACTGTCGTCCAGGTTCTTGTTCCCGCTCACGTTCAATTGTATGTCCCAGAAATCCTCAACCCGGGACGATTCGTAATCGACGTTGATACATGATATGTAGGTCTTCATCTTACCAACAAACATGTTGGTCAAGGCACCCTCGGCTTCAGTGCCCTTCATCCTCTCATCGAGCTTGTCCATGAGCACACGGGACAACTCCTGTACGTCCTGCTGTTCGAAAATCTGCTTCGAGTCCCAACCGAACGAATGCGTCAGCTCTGTGGTTCCTACGGCGTTGTTTGATGTTTGGAGAAGGTAGAAGAGTCGTTGTAGGGCGTAGGCGCTATTCGAACGATCGGCTTCCTCGGCAGTCGGGATCTGATAAACAGCCTGGCGGAGTCAGCTGTCGTTCTGTGTGTTGAAATGGATGTCATACCTGGCGGAACGCATTGGTAAAGAAAAGTGACTGTAGGAGCGAGTTCAGATAGCATGTTGCGCCCTGGTTCTTCAAGCCGACCATGCCGGTCTCTTTCTTGGAGTCGTAGCTTTACAAGTCAGAAACCATCGTCGGCGAAACTGTGCATCCGTGAAACTCACTTGATGAAGTTGTGCCATAACACTCCCGTGGGGTCTTTGAGCACTCTTATGTATGCAGTTACATTGGCGGCGTTGTCTTCTACCATTGGCCGTCCCCGGTCTTCCCAGGAGTTGCTGAAGAGTTTTCTGAGCTCTGCAAAGCGTGTGAAGCCCCAGTCGCCTTCGTCGGATGTAAAGCGGTGGTGTGCGGTGTGTGTGGTGAATATGGTAGGGTCCTTGGGGTTCCAGAGTACAAGCATGAACTCGACACAGGCATACCAATCCTCTGGCATTTGCTTTTCTTCATAGGCCTGCTCCAGGTAGAAGGACGCAAAGTCGACGTTGTTACCGTACGGGAAAAATAGTATCCGCCAGGGATGACCGCCGCACTCGAAGATAGGGCCATGTTCACGTCGTGTGAGCTGGCGCCAGTCCCTGATTTCCCATGTGTTGTATACTTCGGCCTCGGTCTCGTACTCCGGGTTCTTGGGCATGTGTCTCTTCATAAAGGCATCGTACTCGTCGGCGCGGGGCTCGGGTTCGGCGTCGACCTCGTCCATTTGGTCGTCTGTGTCGGGCGTGATTATGGCCACGTCGGCCTTCTCGTCGTACTCGTGGTCCACGAGCATGTCGCTTTCGATCTGCGTGGGTGAGTGGGTCAGCGTGGCCGCGTCTGGCGAGACGCTGGCGAAGGCGCAAGCTTACCTGATCCATGGCGGCGTCGTCTTTCCGGCAGGTGCGGATGGAAGCGGGGGCAGATGGCAGGAAAGCGCTGCAGAGACGGGTCGCGGGGGCAGTCACGACTGGGTGCGCTCGACACTGCAAGGTGAAAAGGGAAGCTGCGCGCCTGTCGCCTAGAGAAAGGAAGGTACGGGTGGGCAGCACTTGCGCGGGCGGGATGCGGGTAAGGATAGGTTCCTCGCTAAAGGTGGCGGCAGTGGAGATATGACGATCGGATTATTGTCGTCTGGAAAACTCCAACATCAAGCATGTGCAAGGGCGAGGTGGACAGCGAGGGCGCACAAAGACAAAAGCTGGGGAGCAGCTCTCGAGGCTCAGAACAGCAGCTCTCTTTCGACGGATGCAGCCTTGGCGCTCGATACAGTGGAGTGCGTCAAAGCAAAGCCGCGGCCTACGACGTCATTCGTCCAACATCACATACTGGCAAGCGGCATGCCACGCGCATATTTCGAGCTACAAACGCTCACCCAGCATGTTTGCCATTGTGCTGTGATATGACTGGCGGTGCCGTGAAATGCGCGCCTCTCTGCTTTTGCGACCGTTAATTAGAGGCCGTGAGTGAAATTCCCAAAAGTTACGCCGGTTAGCGGAGCCCGCCGTCACATGCCCCGTATTTTGCTACAGCTCCCTCAGCGAGCTCCTCCACATGTGCGCTCTCGCACCAACAATTATGAGTATAGGAGCACGTAGTCTCGCGTCGTGCGCGCGACGCTCTGGTATCTTACGTAGAGCACCTTCAGCATCGCCTGTCTCTAGAGTACAAATTCGACATCCACATGCCGCAGCCGTCGCGCCCGCGTGGAGACCGTCTTCGGCCTTGGACGAGTGAGCACATAAGAGATGCTCCTGCCAATTTCCACAGCTGACATGTGACTAGATGGGTGCAGCGTGAAGCCAGACCCATAAGTCTGCGCCAGTTGACTTTCTTTGGAAGAACCTTGACAGAGTCTCGTCTCATCGACTCGGCCAACTACTGCCGTCTGGAGCTTCCCACGAGGTGTGATCTTAGTATCTGACAAGCGGAAATATAAGTGCTGAACACGTGTAGACTTGCGCACCGATTGCGTGATATTCAGACCCTACCATACGTCGTCGTCGCGAACCCTCATCTAGCTCATGTATACGAGTCGTATCTACGCGCTTTCGAACGCTTCCGCCGCGTACCTGAGATAAAATCGCTGGAAGATAACGAGAAGTACTGCAAGGTGCTGGAAGAGACGTTGACAGAGCATGCCACTGTCATACCCCGCCTCGCCATTGGTGTTCTCGAAGTTCGGGGCCTGATGAAGGCTGAGGAGACGGACAAGTTCATGACCACCATGTTGCGATCGGTATGCTCTCCGTCCATGCACAGCGTCGGGCCATGCTAATTGATTCAGCGCATCTCGCGACGCGTCATTGCGGAACAACATCTAGCACTGACCGAGACTTTCGATTCGCCATGGCATTTCCCACAGGCCGAAGTTCATCCCCACGACCAAGAGGCAGTCGGCGAGATATTTTTGCGTTGCAATGCGAAGGAGATAGTCGAGAATTGCGGCAAGACGATGCAGGAGCTCATCAGGACCGCTCAGGGCCCACATGTCGAAATTCCTGAGATCAAGGTCTACGGTCACCTTGACGCGACGTTCCCGTACATCCTGAGTCATCTTGAGTATATCATCGGCGAGCTCTTACGCAACTCTATCCAAGCTGTCATCGAGGAGCGTAAGTCGAAAGACGCCAAGCTGCCGCCTATTGAGGTATTGATCTGCGAAACCTCGCAGCACGTTATTATCCGAATTTCTGATCAAGGTGGTGGCATCCCGAACGAAGTCTTGCCATACCTGTGGAGCTTCAGCAAGGGTCCTAGGCGTGAGAAAAGGCTGCGAAATCTGGCGAGGGTACCAAAACTACTGGGAACATTGCAGGAGCTGCAGGTGCCTGGAGGTGAATCTGCAGCACAGGTGCAACAACGTCTAGATAGGAGGTCCAAGCACGGCGATTCGGGCCTGTATCACGGCTCGCTGTCTTCCTTGACCAGCCGCGCACCAGACCTGCGTCTTGGTATTGGACTTCCCATGTCGCGACTATATGCTGGTAGGTATTTCATGACAATGGCGGGGCTGCGCAGCTAACAATCTTACAGAATACTGGGCTGGCAGTCTCGAAATCCACAGCCTGGAAGGCTATGGCGTCGATGCTTTCCTTCAAATCTCGAAGCTTGGCAACAAAAATGAACGACTCACTACACGAGCCTCAATGGACGCCATTTAGATGGTGCACCCAGGGAGAATCTTGCGGGTGTCCCGCGTTGTCGTGAGGCAAGCGCAATCTTCACGCTGCTCAGTCACAACACAGTACCGCGGCAGTCGGTCACGAGTGCCTTCTCATCACCAACGAAGACATTTGCCTGGATTGCGACCTTCTGTCTGACAACGACATTAGCATTACATCCAGACACCGCCCAATCATCGCGACGACGTATTCTTTACGAGCATCTCTCACGACAGCATGTCTGTAGAACATCTCGTGAGTACACTCGACCCTGCTTGCGGACTTTACTAAAAATCTCCCAGCCATCGCTACGCACCGGTGTTGGCGCTACTGGCCATGCCCATCCATCACCCGTAGTCAACTCCGTCTTATCCGACAATGCGGAACGCCAGCACTTGGAAAGCCTCATAGCTAATTTAGCTTTCGATACCGATTTGTACGGTCATGGCTTTCACAAGAATTGCCCGCCACAGAACATGCACTGTCCTCGCAGGAGGAGATTAGGGTTCGAGCAAGAAGGTAGGACCGATACCTTCGAGCATGTTGTGGTACTTTGCTAATGCCCAACAGCGACGGACGTCGATTACCTCGACGTGGTCATGTGCTGGAAAGGCATATCAAGTGCCCAAGCTGTCGAGCTCACGATATGGGAGCGCGTCTTTGAGCAATGTCTGGTCCCACAATTCGAGAGTCACATGAGGCGAAACGTTGTTGCTGAACTTGGCGCATTACGAGGTACGATACTCATTCTGCACTTTAAATTTCCAGACTGTTACAGACATCGCGTTGCCGTAGGAACTCATACAATGAACAATCTGAACACCCTGGAGCCTACGTCAACGCTGGATCACCTACTGTGCATGCTTCTATGCTGACCAACGTTGCAGATCATATTGCCGAGGACGAGCTCTGGCCTTGCTTGAAACAGATCATGCCCGCCAAGCACAAGCGTCTTGTTCGAATGGATCTTCCTAAACTCATCCACGACATGATCGACGCTTTCTACGATGATTTTCGGGCCCTCCCTACAAATACCAGATGGTCGTTCAGGTCTGGCGACCTACCAAACTTCGTGTATAATTACATCATGACGCAGGATTACCTGCTCCGCTTCTCAGACGGGCTATACATATCGGTCGATGTCGATATTGCCTGGGAAACAATGCCTGTGCTCATGATCTACGCCGCCGTCGTCTCGCAACCACCCAATATCAAGCTCTGGCGTATGCCCTTTGGCCCGAAAGACCGGAACGCCTTTGTTCTCTACTTTGAACGCATCTTTAGCGAATCAGGATCTTCAAGCTACGAACACTTTCCCGAGGATGTTGTGTGTGAAGTGAAGAGATACAAAACGAAGGTACGATACCCATGAGTCACCCCTCACGTTACGTTATCCACTTTGCGCTTTTTCTTCTTGATTTCGGTTGCAGACCTTTCCAGTGCTTTCCTTTCTCACTGGAACGCAATGGCAGTTGTTTGCTAGACTATTACTTACAGCATGGCTAGGATGACACACAGACAGTGTCTGAGACAATCGTTCAAGCCAAGATGGTCACGCAATTTCCAGGTCACGTACGCTACGAACGTGTATTGCGTCATGCGGTCAAGGGCGAAGTGATGGACATATACCAAGTCGTTGCAACGCCAGACGACGACAGACCACAGCAGGAGGAACCGTCGACGCCCTGGGTTCCATCGTACACTAGTACGCCACTGTCCAAGACTCGCCCCCGTCAAGCACGTATTCCGTCTCTACATGAATGCTGGAATGAAGCATTTGCATACTTTAGACGACAGTCTGATAAGAGCCTCGATGACGAAGCTGACATCTCAGCCACATCGATTGCGGACGCATCCGTGCTGTCTGATCCTGATCTGCCAGCCGAGTCGCCTAGGAAACGAAAGGCTCCATTCCGCTCCACAAGCCTGGACGGAGCATCGACCTTGAAACCGGCAGACCACGAGTCAGACACTTGTCTCAAGCGTCAAAAGGTGGAGTCTTCCGGCCATTTCCACATGCTCACGACTTCTACGTCTACCGAGGTCATCGAGCTGCAGAAGAAGTGCGCTGCCATTGCACAGGACGTTGCCGCTATGCGCAAACAACTCGGCCCACTCGGTCAACCTGTGAACGGCAGTGATTATGATGTGTTGCGGCATAGTGAGGATATTGTGCGTCGTTTAAGGGAAGCAGTCGGCCCGTCACGCCCCTCGACTCCAACAGTATCTGCCACCAAGTTATCGCAGCCACAGGGCGAAGACCGACAGAAGTCTCTTATTGAGAAAGGAAAGGCAGTTGTTTTACCTCCTACGCCTCCCATGGAACAACACGACTCATTGCTCCCCCGATCACTTTCGCCAATCTGTCTCACCAGCGAATCTGAAGAGAGCGGCAGTATTTCTTCCAATTCTGCCATCGATGCCAGTGGTCTCGGTGGTCAGCAGCGCGGTCATGGTGATAACGCAAGGTCACACCGTCATTCGAACGAACTTTCTCAAGACGAGATCCAGAAGAACTATCGCGAATTCGAGGCGGCTGCTCAGCGCAGGATGACGGACCCCACGTACGCGCCCGTCAGCGATGTGGGTGACATGAACTTTGAACGCATTTTCCTGGGGGATAGCGAAGCGGAGGATTTGAGCCTGGGCGACATCAGTGGCTTGAGTGAGGAGATGAGTGGGTTGGACATGGATGAGAAGTAGATTGGTGTATCGGATTGTTGATCGTTGCGTGGACTCAATGCTTGGTATGGGTCATTGTCCATTGTGTTGAGTTGATGTTCGCACTGGTCTATACATAGCGCAAGCGTAGTATCAAAGACTGCGTATCTCTTGAGCGTTTTTGCAGGCCGAGGTCTAGTAAGTGATATCATTAGGGCATCCACTGCATTCAATACCAACACGCGGAGGCAGCAAGCGACCACATACGCCTTCATAGTCCTGCCTGTCCGCAGCATGCGACCCGGTAGAATCTCCAAACCCTTCTCGTTCGAACTAGCACTAACAACGAGTAGCAAACGCGTACGAACGAAGAATGCTCTTCGCGCTATGGGAAAGTGATGGCTCAGCCCAGCAAACATGGGACGAACGACTTGTCGGCAGTATATGTACACCACACGATAGTCTCTCTTCCCTACTGCTTCTTCTGCTGCCATCATGGCTATCCGTTACTTCGAAGATCAGTCTTGGCTCGACTTGCTACTGCTCACTCTACCTGTTGTTGTACCTCTTTTGATCTCGCTCTATTTTGTCATGACTGAACAGCCGAGACCAAGAGCGCACGCCAATCCTCTTCCGACCTACAACAACACGAGAGCTCCACGCGAGCGACTGGAGCATCTTATCGGTCCTGCGCTTAACTTCCTAGATACTCCAAATCCGCGAGTAGGAAGACGCCAGATCACGCCGCCAATCTCTACGCTACCATTCGAACACGGGGTGTACATGCCAGATCCACGTCGCAGCTCACGAGCTGAAAGACGTCGGATCAACGAAAACGATCTCATCCATCGCGAATACATTCGTCAGTTGAGGAACCGAAGGTCGCAATACCAAGACTTCGAGCCTAGCGAGATGGTACTGGTGCAAGAACCTGATGTCGACGAAATCGTCGCGTCGCACCAAGATCCATGGATTCCAGACGATTTCAGACTACCCGTCGCCGTCGAGGAAGAAGAAAACCCATCTCCGGATGAACATACCTTTGTGCTAGTAGATCGCAGTCGCAATTCTTCCTGGGAAGTCGTGTCTGATACGGAAGAGCAAGAGTGGCAGCATGTTAAGGTAAATCTACGTGGCGGTGGGGGCGACGAGCCAGTAGCGCTCAGACCGGTTCGAGCTCGCATGACTGAAGCAGAGCTTCGTGAACATATTCGTAGGAATCGTGCTGAGACGTTGGCGATGTTGGAGTATTATAGCAAAGCTTCGGTGCGGGCGCGCGAGAGGGGTGATCGAACTCGCCGGTAAGTGGATCGTGGTGAGAACCGGTGGGACCGCGAGTCGGTTACACGACGGCAGTGATGGATGTAAGATAGGCGGGATGAGTTGCGGGATTGCCTGCGGGGATGGTCACTAGTTCTCCGGGATCCTATAATCCGAACTCTTTCGGGTTTGTGAAGTTGCTGTATTCGCTGCATCTTGTTTGAAACACCCTTTTCGAATAGTCTCGTTCCAGTCACCGATTGTTGTTAATCGCTTGCTCCTCCTCGTTGGCCACGTCCATGCTTACCTAGGTAGGTAACGGCATACGAAGCCGACGGTCATCAATACATATCTGCCCAGGATACGATATATATTACAGGCCAGCTGCAACAGGCTGATGTGCCAGGCTATCGATTTTGAGAACCCCTGATTGGATGTTCAACAGTGATGCTGCTCCGAGGCTGCAGGGTCGCGGCACGGCATGGGCTGCAAATCCATCGATATAAGTATTGGACTGCAAACAGGCACTCACAACTTCCGTATCCCACGTTCGGAAGGCATCAATTTACTACTGGAAGTTACGCTTACAGACAGTGCTACGTACGAAACTGGACAACCCGATGGTCCCGATCATGAACGATGGTACACCTGCGTCGCAACCAGCCCCACATGACGTCATAGATTCTCCAACTCCAGAATCGTCTACAGCAGCAAATAGAGGATGTGACCTCTGTCACAGATTCGAGATCTTAGATATCTACTACCTCAGCTCGGAGCACTCTTGGGGTGAGATTCTCGTGTCCGCACAAACCTGTGCTAGCTGCGACGTGGTCGTGAGAGGTTGCCGTAGCTGGTTGGATAAAGATGGCAAAAAGGACTGGACACCCACTAGCTTGATCCTGGACTTTAGACGACCTCGTAAGTCGAATAGGTACGGACTTCCACGCGGGCTCCGAAAAGGCAGTGGAATCCGCACATATGAGCCAGAGGACCATGAGAAAGCGTGGCCTATACAGAACCCACGCATTTGCTCTCACTTAGTCGGCATGAACTTCACTTCGAGCATCATATGGTTAGGCATTTTCGAAATCAAAGGTGAGATAACTTGCCATCAAACGATGCTGTGTCATTGACAAAATCCAGGGCCTTCACTTCCGGAGCCTTGGGACCGCTATGTCGATTGGTCTTACATCACGACTGGAAACACAGGATCGGAGGAAGCTTTCCAGGTAGCGCGAAGCTGGCTACAGAATTGCTGTGAAACGCATGTAATCTGTGATAGGATCTATGACCAGGCCTTGCCCACCCGATTACTGGATCTGGAAGCCTTTGGTAGTGAAGGTGTCGTCAGGCTAGTAGAAACTTCTAGCGAACATGGCCAATATGCCGCTCTCAGTCATTGCTGGGGCGCTACACCACAATTTACTACCACGAAAGCTACCTTAGCTGAGAGGAAGACAAGCATTCGTTGTGGCCAGTTAACGAGAACGTTCCGCGAAGCGGCACAGGTAGCTTGCGCGTTGGACATTCGATACCTCTGGGTAAGTTTTCATTGTCTCTGCTACATATGACACATATACTGACTGGGCCAGATCGATTCGCTTTGCATTGTACAAGATGATCGTGACGATTGGGCACGAGAGGCATCTGAGATGTCTACGGTATATCGCAATGCAGTGATAACTATCTCAGCAACCGCGTCGAGATCTGGCGATGAGGGGCTATTTCGGCAATCTCCCGAGGTTTTGGTGCGCTCTAGGAGGGAGCGGTCACCAACATTCGTGTTCCGCGCCGCACGTATACATATGGGCGCACACCCCTTCGAACAAAAAGAATTTCCACTCCTGAGTCGCGCCTGGGGTCTGCAAGAACGCCTACTACCACTGCGCGTCTTACATTTCACAAACGCCGAACTAGTTTTCGAGTGCCTCGAAGAGCACCGTTGTGAATGTAGGGGAACCTGGGTTCATACAGGTACTTTTAAATGGTGCATCAAGCCGTCCAAACTCCATTTGCGTAAGAGAATCTCACGTTCTGAAAGCTTAGAGGCCTGGAAGGAGACTGTACTGGAGTACAGTACTCGCCAGCTGACTTACCCGAGCGACAAGCTAGTAGCTATAGCAGGGCTTGCAAAGAACTTTGCGGAACCAGGCGACCGATACTTGGCTGGTCTTTGGGAAAGTGGACTCATTGATCATCTTCAATGGTTCGTGTACAACGATCAATATCGAATTCAAAAAAGACCAACATGGAGAGCGCCGTCTTGGTCTTGGGCTGCTGTCAAGACTCAATTCAGGTACAAATTCGGAATCAGCTCCATAGGTTCCTCAGAGTATGATTCCGGGACTGCGAACGTCCTGAGTTGTAGTGTGGTTTCGAAGAATGCCGATACATATGGCGAGATTCTATCTGGTACGCTCAAACTCCTTGCGCGTTTGACGGAAGTGACATGGACAGCTCAGAGGCCTGACAATCCACGGCGTGGGAGCGACGTTCACTGCATCACCTTCCCATCCGGGTATTCACAGGGGTTTAATTTGGACGCACTGATAGATGACATGCCATCGCCTGGTACTGAGTCTAAAGATACGAACATCGCTTGTGTCTTACTTGCTGAAGACCTTAAGCACCGGCGTCGCAAATGCCTGGTCCTCCGTCGTTTGAACTCGAACAGGAACGTCTTTGAGCGCATTGGTATCGTGGACGAAGCTGTTCCACCATATCTCGACGAGTGTCTAACAGATGCAGACAAGCTTTTCCCGACTGCGAAAGTTGTTGTAGAGATAGTGTAGCAATTCCACTGGTCATTTCATGCATCTCAAGCTACTTATTGCACTACTGTTGCAGAAGACAAAGTGAGAATGAAAGTTACTTTATGGGTCGATTTGAAGAGAATCAATGGAAAACGCACAGCTATCAATGGAAAACGAAGCTCATATACGTTTGCCATTGCACTAGTGTTTGCTGCTACTGGCGGAATCAGATGAGCATCATAACAGTCGACGAAACGCTGCAATAGAATAAAGATGAGATGATGACTGGAACGAAATATCGAGTGTTCGTTTCATCGGTAGCTCGAGTGACCGTCAAATGATCGTGAAAGATGCGCACTAGTCAGTGCGCGAGGTGAAAGACAAACTATCAGCACTGTCATCACATAACATGCCAGCTGACCTAAGTCTTCAGTCAATATTCGATCTCTTATACCCATCGCCACTTCCTATCACACCATATTCCAGACTCAAGAATCTCAACCATACCCAAGAGTTTCACAAGCACAACAACCTGACCACACTAGGATGAGCGCACCAACGAACCCACCGCAGCCCGTAGGCCTAATAACATCCTCACCCCACACCCTCCAAAACTTCGACCTAACCGCCCCCATCCTCCGCTTCGACTTCCCCACGCCCGCCGCCCAAGTAACCTTCCACCGCGCCTTCCTACAAGTCCGCAACGAAAAAGACAAAGCAGCTTTCATGCAACGTTTCTTCGATAACTACGACGGCCAAGTCTCTATACCTCGGCGTGTCATCATGGACACGAGCCGAGATGAAGAAGTTGCGAGGAGGCTGCAGGAGAGTCTGCCAGTGGAGGTCGATACCGGGAGGGATGAGCAGATGGCGAGACATCTGCAGGGGCAAATGGAACAAATGGGGAGGGGTAGTTTTGGAGGTGCGGGTAGAGGGCCGGTTGATGGAGGACATGGTATGATGGACGCACGGAACGACAGCACAGACGGTAGAGGATATGGTGGTGGAAGCAGAGGCGTACCCGTGAACGATGAAGACGAAGCCTATCGCGCAAGGAGACGGATCGAGCGCCAGAGGGAGATGCAAGAATGGGCGAACGCGGCGCAAGGATGGACGAACGCGGCTGACGGAGCCTACGTTGACACTATGGAAAGGCTAAGACATCAGTTTAGACGGGCGGGCTTTCAAGACCCTGGTGCGTATCCTGGGCAGCCTGGATATGACAACGCGCCTCCTCGACGAAACCCTCGACTACCGTCTCGTCGCTCTGAGAACCAGGAGAATGAGTTCGAGGGCTATCATGGCAATGGGGGGCAGGGCTATCCAGGATATGGTCAAGGTAACGGAGGATATGGCTACGGCTACGACCCGCGCCGAGATCACTGGGGTCATCGAGGTGGAGGTTATTAGATGAACGGGTGGTGATAGTGGTTCTTGGGTTTGGGCTCAGCAAATTGTTGTAGAAGTCTGCAGCAAGCGATCAAGAGATGAAATTGCGGGAGTACCTCCAGTTCTGTCCTAGTGAAAGTGAAAGGGCTTCCGACTCGAAGTGTACCTACTAGACGACAACAATACTGCTAACGCATACACCGCCTCCAATCATCCATTGATGCAGGCCGGTAGATTACCCGCTCGTCAGACTCATATGTTAGCGCACGCCCTCTGAAAGGCTCTGGTGAAGCCGACGCTGCTCTTGGTTGCTTTCCCTTCCCTGCCTTGGGCGTGTCATCGTCCGGGGGCGTGGAGGGTTGCTCCTCTGGGGGCGTGGAAGGACTGTCTTTCGGGGGCGGCAAGGAAGGCTCCTCGTTCATCAAGATGATACCCTCGCACAACATGCCGACATACTCCGTCTAAGTGTTATGCGTCATTGGTCGCTTGTGCACCTTCCTGACCTTCTGGATGTTGTAACCATTCGCGCAGTGATCAAGGAGATGGTCGAGAGGCATTCCGTCGTCGGAGAAGAGCTCGCCAAGTCTGCCCCGAAAGTCATCGCGGTCGATGGGGTCGTTGTGGGTGACGTCGTCTGGTAGACGTTTGCTCAAGATGTGCAGAACGAGGGAGCAAAAGCAGCGATTGGGGGCGTGATCCTGGTAGTCGGACGATTGTATCCATTGGACAAGTTCTGGGACAAAGATCATACGAAGATCCTCTTCGTTGGGCATACTCCACGGGACTGGATGTCGGCCAATGTGCAGAGGTGCCAGATCTTTGGGTCCCGCCTCATCATGTTTCTTCATGAACCTTTTTGTCAGAATCGACCGTAGCCTCTTTGGGTGTATTGCGTTTGGATCGATCGTGGGTGAGTCAACCGTCGTTGGTGAGTCAACCGTAGTGAGCCCGTCGGCGAGCTTTGGTGATGGAGGTCCTTGCGGCGAATCGCTTCGTACAGGCTCTTTGGGCTCCGCTTCCTTGTGTGTGTCCGGGAACATATCATGCGCGAACCCCGCCTAGACGCCCGGCAATCTCCTCGCACATGCTTTTCCATAGCCTATGGGGCAGGAAAACGACCGCGCCCTGAGAGTTGGGATGGGCCGAGCCTGGTATGGGGAAGTATCCATAGCGATAGTATCTGGACTTTGGCGATGTGAAGGTGATGATATGAAGATAGCGCAATAACGATGTGGTGGTGTGCTGAAGTGTGAGTGTAACTGTGGGTGGCGTGAAAGTGGTGTTTGGGTCAGTAAGGTGCGCGACTGCTCTGACCACGTCGTTATTCTTTCGCCCTTTCCATCTTGTGTACCTTCCATGCTCTTTCCTATCTTCACATGGGAAAGTGCCGTACCCGAACAGAGCCAAATCACATGCGGCGATTAGAGTTCCTACAGCCTCATATTAGCAGCCCGTCGTTCTGGACGCAGCGCGTATCTGTTGGTAAGCCTTTGTACGATCGTACGAGGTGACGATGATAACTGGGTTCTTGTGTATTGAGATATATTACTACGAACGCGGGCGCTACCAAGGTATACCCAAGCTCGGCATGCGCCGGGCCGAGGTAGGATCGAGGCGGTACTTGAATATCATTGGGGGACATCGTGTGTGCATGCCGACCCCAATTCCTCCTTGTTCGCTCTTTACAGCTCTCTGCAATAGCAGAAACAAGCATCTGGATCTTTCCTGTAACCCAAATAAGCCTCTGCCTCTCTGAACTCTGCGACGTGATACGTACAACTGCACTCTGTATACCTGAACTGCGGTTGCACCAGGGAAGCAAGTGTCTGCACAGCCTTTGTTTTGGCCTACAGAAGGTTGTAGTTCGTTAGTAAGTGATCAGAAGAAGAAAAAGCTAGTACGAAAGATTGCTTACATGCTCGGTTGTCTGCAGTAGAACAGCTCCATTCATCTTTTGGGATCGCGTCTCCACCTTTCAAGCACCAGTACCTTATATCGGCAGCGGCGAGTGAGGTGAATAGCATTGCGGTAACGATTGACAACTTCATAGTGAACGATCTTAGAGTGCTGAAGGATTTGTGATAGAGTGATTGTAGGCTGCTGAGTAAAGTGATTCTCTGAGGCGGTCGGTGGGCAGCTTTTGTATGCCACGAGCAAGCCACAGTCTCCCGTCTCACGCGTGGTACGCCATACCATTCCAAGGAACTGCTCAGATAGAGTTTGAACTTCAAATTTGGCCGGGAGTCTCCTGGTAAGATTTGTTAAATTTGGTGCTTACATCCAAGGGCTTGAATTGTGTGCATGTTGCTACCACCTGCATAAAATTGGTATGGCGCACTACGGCTGTAATGCTGCGTAGCGTATGAACTTAACTATTTTGGATGATTCGGCACGCTGTAGACTTCGGCCCGTTCTCACCTCTTCTACCAAAAGTCTAGACTATACTTCGGAGTTTGATCCGTCAATCCAGCCCTCGAGTCCATGAAGTTCTGTCTTCGTGCACCATGTCGGAAATCAGGAAAGCTACCACTCGGCATGGGAGGTAGTCATTGTATGGATAGAGCAAGAAGCGGTACCTAACTATTGACAGGAAAAGCTACACTGGCAGCTTCTACTATGCAAGAACTATCTCAAACAATATTCTTGGAGTCGCTACACCGCCTGAACCGGCACGTACCGGCTCGTACATACGATACAAGATACGGCGTCTGGTGATGTTGAGTAGTATCTCCGCCTATCGTTCGACTGTCTTAGTGATGCCTCGGTCTTTCCGTAGTAAGGATGGCAATGTTGTGGCGGCTGACAAGGACGGCACTCTCATACCAGAAACGGCCCGCGACGATCTATTGAACCCTTCTTAATTCTCTCATGTAGATATTCGTCTTCGCTGTGTCTAAGAGTCGAGATCATGCCAAGATTCTTTGTATATAATAAGCGGTGTGATAAGGTCTTCCTCCTCGCAATACATCCTCCATCGATACGTTGATGAAGTAGCGATCGTCGTAAGCAGCACGCACCTTCCTAGCACATTAGCCATGATCAAGCCGCGCGATGTACGCTTTGACCATTATTGTTGTCCAGTCTGTATGTCCAAGGTGTGGAAAGAGCGACATCGAGCAAGGGCAGTTGCTGGTGATCAGAACCTCGGGACGCGCAGGCGCCATTGTACATATTGCAGGGACTCCGCAGCCACGACAGGTACACACAGTCAGATATAACAGTTCGTCAGAATTCGTATTCGTACAATGGTATCACTCTTCAAAGCCCATCCACTCGCCTATATCCTCGCCTTCATCACTGTCAACCATCTCTTCATCTGATATCCCATTCTCTATCGCTTTGACCCCAAAGTCGAGTTGGGCTGACTTCTCTTTCTCCTCTGGCGGCTGTGCGAGCAGATATTCGATGCGATAGATGTTCTCGTCAGCTAATCTTGCGAGCTCAGCCTGTATCCTGCGAACAGCTTTCTCAACGCTTCTTAACTCGGCCTCAAGACCGCCCTTGTTGTCCTTCATCCATCGACCGTGCTTGCTCAGTAGTGACTCGATCCACACTAGGTTGAACTCCAGATGCGGGGACTCATCGGCTTGGAGGGCGACGAACCGTAGTAACCGACCGAGATACACTGATGGCAGGTCCTTGACTACTAGAGCGACGTTGCTGACGGGCGTGGCTTCGTATACGCGGCGAACAAGGTTGCGCTCGTTTAGACGGAAAGCCATGACCAGTGCCTTGAGGTAGTCTTTCTGTGCGAGAGTCTCGAGAGTTGTCGCTGGTGTGACGGTGATGTCTAGGTCGAAGGGATCGAATTGGAACGTGTTGTCGAGTGAGTAGATTAGTAAGCCTTCTGTTGAAGCAGCGCAGAACGCTCTGCCTGTTGGCGAGAACGCGACAGCGGGTACGCGTACTTCCGGTCGTGTTTTCCGTGCGCCAATGCCCTTTTGCGCACCGGGTAGTGTTGTGTCTCGCCGATCTTCCAGATCGGACGCTTCACCTTGGTCGTCGATGAGACCTTGTGGCCCAGCATCTGTGAGCAGCTTGCTGTTGAGGAACTCTTGTGTGCCATCGAGAGAAAGGTTCACGGATACAGTGAACTTCTTGAGCAACACACCAGACTGAACATCGTATAGACAGATGTACTTAGAGTTGCCGCCTGCCAATACACACGTGCCGTCTGCGCTGTACTTCACCGACGTAAAGGCCTTGGTGCCTGCTACGTTGGCTGCAGTGCGCCGATCTGACATCTTGCGACCACCGGAAACGTCCCTTCGCGCATCAAGGCCATTTTCCTGTGCAGCATCGGATACGTTCCAGAACGTCAGTTGTCCATCAAGAGTTGTGACGGCTATTTGCTTCGAATCGGGGCGGAATGCGACAGATAGGATGTCGGCCATGAGTTGTAGCGGCTCGCTTGTTTGGGTGCGAGCAAAGATGTTCCAGACGCGAACAGTCCTGTCCCAACTTCCACTGACCAGCGTACCAGCATCAGGAGAAAATGCTAGGGATGATACAGGGCCTTCGTGACCAGATAGTCTGTCAAGCAACTGGCCGGTCTGGACGGACCAGATGTGAATGTCGAAAGAATCGATCGAGCCCGCGCATACGACCTCGCCGCTTGGGTCAACCGCTAGGGACGAAAAGGAAAGCCTCGATGGCGCCGTGAAAGTGCGGAAGTTGCGATACCGGTGGAGATCCCAAGCCCTGATGGAGCCATCAAGACTGGCTGTGAACAAGACGTTTCCCTTCTTCGCGAATTCGCAGGCCGTCACACCGCCCATGTGTTCCGTGAATGTGACGACACAGAAACCGGAGTTGACTTCCCAGACTTTGATCTTGCCATCGTCTGCCGCTGTTATTATCCGTTGACCGTCTGGCGAGTAGGCGATTGTGTTCATCGAGTCGAAGTGTCCCTGCTGCTTCAAAATGTACGATTCCGACTGCCATTCCCACACAAGTAGCTGGCCAAGTTTCGACGCGCCAAACGCTAGCCACTCTCCGGTCTTGTTGATGGCGACGTAATCGATGTCGTTCTGCGAGATGCTGAGGCTGGAGATTTGCGCAAATTCTGGTAGCTCGTGGATGAAGAAGGCACCGTGTGAAAAGCCTGTCACGAGCAGTTTCGACTCGGGATGGAAGCTGGCGCATGTGACGTGCGCATTGTTCTGATGGAAGAAGTGGCGTTCCTGAATACCCCATTGTAGGTTCTCGTCGTCGTCCGGGTCGGCGTCGGCGGGCGCATCGTAGCGTAGCATGTATTTCCAGACGAACAGCGCTCCGTCCTTGCTGACTGTGTATATGGTCTCTTGATCCTTGGAGAACCATGCGCCGACTACTTCCTGCCTGTGTCCGCCCAATGTTGTCTGCGCATGTCCTTCTGCTTGATCCACGCTCCAGATCCGCGCCGTCATGTCTTTGGACGCGCTCAGGAAAAATCTCGAGTCGCTAGACCATTCTATGCTCTGTACTGAATTGTAGTGTCCTGTGTATATCCGGTGTCGCACGAAGGGCGCAAACTCGAGATCGCCTTCGGCAACGTCTGGAGTGGACGGTGTGTGCCATACTTCAATCTGCCTTCCTATGCCTACTGCGAAATGCCGACCAGAAGGAGAGAAAGCGATCGAGGTGACTTCGCCGCGGAGAGAGAAGTGGTAGAGCACGATGCGACGAGGAACATTGGTGAGGACTGCGCGACCGTCTTCATCGACCGAGAGGAGGAGGTTTCCGCGGGGGTTGAGGGCCAGGCGTGCGATGTTCTTCCGGTGCGCAAACGGAAGCGTGTATGACTTGGAGCTGACTAACGATCAGCGCATATCGAAAGAGGCAGTCGCGAGTGTGAGCCTACCTCACAAGGTCGAAAACCGTGACGCGGTTACCAACGGGCGACAGCAGACATGTGCCATCGGGTGTGAAGAGAAGATTGCCTCTGCTGTAGACGGTGCCCAGCAGGTTGGAGAACTGTGGGTGTCAGACGCGAACATTTGCACGGCAGCACTCAACTCACCTGGAAGTCAGTCTTCATCTTCAAAGTATCGTGGCTGCGGTCTCGTCATGTCGTGGCGGGCATGATGGTCGCATCTTGAACTTTTTCGAAGCTCGGATCATCGCAGGACGCGCTAGTGGAGTAGTGTGCATTAGTCGCGGTTTCCCCGTTCAGGGTCAGTGCTTGCCGAATGGGCGACTGGCAGAAAGGGGACCCAAATTGTCTACCAACACCACACCTCCTCACCAGACCCCATATCGCACCTCGTTCAGCAACCTCACTGCTGACTTGCTTTTCATCGGTCACCTTACGTATGTTTCCACGCCGTACTCCACCACTATCAGGACCCTAATAGCTAACACCACCACGCAGACCCCATACACACCAGCGGTCAACCACACATCAGCACAATGGCCGAGTCCGCGTCCCCCATTGGCATTGCCAATGTACGTATACCATCCGCTCAGTCTATATCCTCAATTCGTATACTAACATGCATTGCAGCTGCCCAACCAGAGGTACTATCAACACAGCGGACACGCAGCTTCGGCCCTAACGTAGCACAGGCACAAGATTGTTGCAAAGCGCGGTGCTGCCTTCACCATAATGGTACGCATACCATCCACATGATCAATCGACTTCAATCTAACTAGCTCAGGTTGCCGGCGAGTCTGGTCTCGGAAAGACCACCTTCATCAACACCCTCTTCTCCACCACCATCAAGAACTACGCCGACCACAAGCGACGACACCACAAGCAGATGGACAAGACCGTCGAGATTGAGATCACCAAGGCCGAGCTCGAGGAGAAGTTCTTCAAGGGTATGCAGCGCCATACTGCTATTCATTCTTTATGCTAACACACCTAGTCCGTCTTACCGTTATCGACACCCCCGGTTTTGGTGACTACGTCAACAACCGCGACTCGTGGCAACCCATCATTGAGTTCCTCGACGACCAGCATGAGTCGTACATGCTTCAGGAGCAACAACCGCGCCGCTCTGATAAGATCGATCTTCGTGTTCACGCCTGCCTGTACTTCATCCGCCCCACCGGCCACACCCTGAAGCCCCTGGACATTGAGGTCATGAAGAAGCTGTGCACACGCGTCAACTTGATCCCGGTTGTAGCCAAGGCCGACACACTGAGCCCAACAGACCTGGCCAAGTTCAAAGCGAGGGTAAGTTGGTCCATCTACATGTCAGCAGCAAATACTGACCGCTTTTAGGTGCGCCAAGTGATCGATGCTCAGGGCATCAAGATCTACACTCCCCCTCTCGAGGATGACGACGCCGCCGCCATGCAACACGCACGCGGTCTCATCGATGCCATGCCCTTCTCCGTCATCGGTTCCGAGAAGGATGTACAGACCAACGACGGCCGCACTGTCAAGGGTCGCCAATACGCCTGGGGTGTTGCCGAAGTCGAGAACGAGGAGCACTGCGACTTCAAGAAGCTCCGCGCTATTCTCATCCGAACCCACATGCTCGACCTCATCCACACCACGGAGGAGAATCACTACGAGGCCTACCGCGCTGGCCAGATGGAGACAAGGAAGTTCGGCGAGGCGCGCCCAAGGAAGCTGGACAACCCCAAGTTCAAGGAGGAGGAAGAGGCGCTTCGCAAGCGTTTCACCGAGCAGGTCAAGGTTGAGGAGCAGCGCTTCAGACAGTGGGAGCAGAAGCTTATTGCCGAGCGTGACCGCCTCAACAAGGACCTCGAGGCCAGCCACGCGGAGATCAAGCGTCTTGAGACGGAAGTGGACAGCCTCCAGGGAAGCATCAACCGCTCTCACGGCCGTCGCTAGACGCACCCTTTGGCGTTGGTGGTGTTGCACGTACAGAGATGGTGCAGCGATTCAGCATGGTCGCACTAATTCTCCACATTCTTCCTTCAAGATTCCCCTTTCTGTTTCCGTAACTTCGGTTCTCATATGTCTGTAATGTCGCGCCGCCGTGGGGATCACTGTAGGCGACGCGTATCTAGGCTTGAGCTAAAACAGCACGTCATAGCTTATAGTTGTATAACTTGGTATTAATCTATTATGAAGACCGCTGGTCGCTAAATCTTGTTCGTGGGTATAGTGATGTTGAGATGGCAGGCTTAAACCTGTAATCCGCCAAACACCCTATCCAGCTCCTCGCCTTCTTGTGCCTTGCGCTCCGCCTGCGGATCTAGATCCATAAGGTTCTGCTCCGGCACCTTTTCTTCCTTGGTCGACTCATTATTATCGCTAGGTCCCCCCGGCTTAATGATGTGCACACCACTGTCCAACCACCCAGGCGCAACCCTCCTCTTCTCCGCGAGATCCTCCTTCCGCCGCCTCTCCTCCCACTCCGCCAACGTCCTCCGCGCGTCCGCTTCTAGCTTGGCAAGGTGCTCTTGTAGCGCGACACACGACGTGAGGATCTGGTCTGGATGCGCTGATGTACCTGTTGACGAGGTGACGTATGCTGGTTTCGACGCAGAGGCGTTGGGGTTGGACGGGTCTTGTTGTTGCTGCTGCTGCTGAGAGAGGATCGAGGGAGGCAGCGTCGACGGGAGGGTTACGTAGGAGTATGGCAGGGGGACGGATGTGGGGAGGGAGAGGAAGGGCGAGAGTGTTAGGGGGACTTGGGCGAGGAGGGGGTGGGGATCTGCGGGAGTGGTGTTAGCGAGGTTCGCGCGCGTTGTGCTGGGTGGAGGGACGCGATGCGATGCGACGAGTAGTCACACTTCAGAGCTCGCATGTCCGAATGAGACGATGCCGAGGTCGCTAGTGATCTCTCAACATGCTCTCAAGCGGCACCCTCGCACTGGAGCTCACAACTGGTCGCATGGTCTGGCTATGCGCGCGCATTGCGCTGGGTGTGCATTGTAGCGGGGAAGAGGAGCACTCACGTTCGTCGTGCATATTCGATATGGCTATACGCGTACGTCAGGGTCCGTCGATTTTGCCAAAGTAGCAGTATCAGGGCGTATATTCGGTCTTGTCGAGTACGGTGGGGCGTAACTTTGCGGGAACGGTGTTGCAGGGCTTGGGGTTGTGGAGGCACGAGGTGTTGGTGGGGAAGCTCCAGGTTGAGTGGAGCTGCTGACGCAGGTACGGAGTTCCAAGGTTCCACGGTTGGAAGCTGCGGTCACGCGTTATGCATGTGAGATAGATGCGGGCAGATTGTTTGTGGGATGCATACACGAAGACAGTCTTGGGGAACGGTTTATCTTGCGTGTTGATGGGGAAGTCATTTCTTGTGGCATTATGGATGGATCTTGAGTGTAGCGAAAGTGTATCTATATTTCCACTACCCTTTCACTAGATTGCATTTGGGTTGGATCTTGTATGTACTTGACGCAACAAGAAGAAGAGAAGTTTATGTATGTGCGCGTGAATGTCCCCCATGTTTGCCTACCTGATCTTGGCAGAGCAAGTGAATGGTCTCGGACCGGGAATTGTGTAGCTGGTCGGGATCGGCCAGTACAGTTGAAACTTAATCCCCGGGTCAGTCGCTTTGTATGCACCTGGAAAGCTGACAGTCGCCGGACTGGCACTGCCACCTCCTGTCACATTGATTTGAGCACACTCCATATAGAGTTGAGCACCGGGGTAGTTTGAGGCGGCATGGAGAGCAATGAGCTCTGCGCGAAGGAGGTACCTGGAAAGACCCGTGTCAGTCGACCATATAGATTTGGCAAGAACTTGGAGATGACTTACTGTCCACTGGGAATGCATGACGGCAGTACAAAGTCTACCAGGCCCTTGTTGTTATACAGTCTTGTAACGGCCCACTCGCCATTGGCATCCATACCATCCTCGTAGATCTTAAACCACTTGAGTCCCGTCACTTTGGTAGACAAGGCATCATCGACTCTGGCAAGGTAGACCATGATGGGTCCCAGATGACCGGGGTCAATTGGATCTGACTTGTCCGTCTCGGGCTTGGAATCGAGCGTGTGGTGCCACTCGGCAGTGAGCTTGTCTCCAGCTTTGACCTGACAAGGAGTAAGCCGAAGCCATGTGGCGTTATTGCTTATTGCGCAACCAGCGTACATTGATGATGTCTTTGGGAAGAGGCGTTCTGTGGGGGTTTATGCTGAATGCGGGTCAATCTAGCGCTTGGTTCCACGCTTTGTAATGCTTTACCCGCCATTACAGATCACATCGTTTGATGTAACGTCCGTTATTGGTCTGGAAACGTAAGTGAGTTGGAGTTCAAAAGGCGATTGCGGGGTGCATTACCCGTCGTAGGTCTGTGTCGTGCTGTTAGCAGGGGAGCAACATGGGAATCGTGAACATGCTCACCGGCACTCGAATCCCCTTAGTGTGTCCTTGCGCCACGCCATTGACGTGTAGCTGGGTGAAAATTGTGTGTGCCGAAGCGCTGGCCAGTAAAGCACAAGTAACCGCATAAGCCTTCATCATGTAGGCTACTACGTTAGATCCTGAATGTCCTCATCAACGCGTCGATGAATCTTCCTATATGCCATTGTTCTGCACCGTTCTCAAGCTGTCCAAATGGAACACGGCATTATTGTTCAAATCTGGTCGACCTTCCAGTTCGGCACGCATGCGACTCGCGGTAGACTCGCGTGACCAGAGACACTTTAATCCCAATCTATTTCGCCCGCCGTAACGCACTTTTGAAAATATACTGTGTATGCACGAGACACGTGCTTTGTGGATTCCTCAGCGCATAGAACCCTCGGCATATACCAAATAGGCAACGAGCACCAATGCGGTCTTGACTGCGCGTTCTTTGAACCGGCGGTTGGGTGGAAAAACCGCAGTATTAATTACAGGGAGGAGGATATGACCGAGACATGCCGCGACACCGTGGCGCGGCTCTTGGAATGTGGGAAGCGAGAGGAGGAATGCGTAATATAATAGATTGTGTGTTACTGGTCTGGTCAAGTGTTTCAATCAATGAAACGTGCGCGTCTTGTCGGTCAGCGAGAAGGCTTGGAAGCCGTCCTTCATTTTGGGGCAGCCTTGCGGAATATGCGGGAAGAAGCCGGTACCGAGAAGGCTGTGGCGGTTGCACGAGGTCAAGAGCACTGACTTGATAATCTTTCCGACGAAGCTGGTGGTGCAGATGGTGCACTTGAAGAGGCTGATGCGAGGCGAAAGCGCGAAAGTGACGGTCCATCCCACCAGCCACTAAACGATTGTGGGGAAGCCTGGGCCCGAACGGGCAAGGGGCACATGGCTAACGGCGATGCTAAGTCGCAGTCCCGGCTTCTGTCAATCTACATCAATCAATCCACCCATGCCGCCGTAGTTTCGACATATTAACGACTAACCTTGAATCTCGGCCAGATCACCTACGTTTTGAAACAGCCAATGACGATGTCGCCCACGGTAATCACGCCCCTCGCTTGGCCCATCCCAGCCAGCGCGCGTCTTCCGTACCTGGTTCAATGCGCACTTCTGCCGCCTCCAGAAGGAAGTTCCCCAGGTAGTGGCTTGGCCACGGGTGTCAACCCCATACACGGCGGCGTAGTCTAGCATAATGTTGATGTGTATATAACACGTCCGCACCCTGGCATAGCGATAGAGGCCACAGCTACAACTTGCGCTTGTCAATTCATCTCATCTTCGACGTGCTGGTAACAAGTCTCCAAGATGAAGACCTCTTCTTTCGTTCGAGCGGCTTCGCTGCTATCCTCTCTTTTCGCCCCTCTCGCTCTTGCGCAGGAAACGTTCACCCACGAAGGCACCGGTATTGAGTTCTGGCGCCAGACAGTCAGTGACGCCCAGACTGCAGGTGGTTTCGAGTGGGGTTGGGTACTGCCTGGAGAACCTACTGGAGCCAACGACGAGTACATTGGTTACATTGTAAGTTATAGCAAGTCTGCGTCGATGCTGCAGCCGCTAATGTTCCCCAGAAAGGTTCGCTCGAAGCAAACAGGCAGGGATGGTCCGGTGTCAGCCATGCTGGTGGCATGCCAAACTCTCTTCTCCTCGTTGCATGGCCGGAAGAAGATGCCGTCAAGACCAAGTTTGTCTGGGCAGGTGGCTATGTCGCTCCTGAGGACTACACTGGCAACGCGACTTTGACTCAAATCTTCCACTCCGTCACCGACACACACTTCGAGATCGTCTACCGATGCGAGCACTGCTGGGTCTGGAACCAGGGCGGTGCTGAGGGCTCTCAGCTTCCCACTACTGAGGTCAACGTTATCGGTTGGGCCCAGCATGACAAGATCTATGACGGTACCTGGGTTTTCCACAACAAGGGACAGTCTCAGTTCGGCGCTCCTACCGCGGACGCGAGGAACGCAAAGTACACCGACTACCTCAAGTTGGTAGGTGGCCAGCCTTCTGGTGCACCTACACCGACCAAATCTGGTCAGCCATCGGCTACGCCCACTCCAACAGCACCTGTCAAGTGCCAGGGATCGCCTGCTCCTTCAGGCTCCTTCGACTACATCGTCATTGGCGGTGGTGCTGGAGGTATTCCCGTAGCAGACAAGCTTTCTGAGTCTGGCAAGAGTGTTCTCATGCTCGAGAAGGGCCCGCCATCTCTCGCCCGATTCGGCGGAAAGATGGGCCCTGACTGGGTCACTAGCAACAACCTGACCCGCTTCGACGTTCCCGGTCTTTGCAACCAGATCTGGGTTGACTCTGCTGGTGTAGCTTGCACTGACATTGACCAAATGGCTGGCTGTGTTCTCGGTGGAGGCGCTGCTGTCAACGCTGCGCTTTGGTGGAAGCCTGTTGACATTGACTTCGACTACCAGTTCCCGAACGGCTGGAAGTCAGCTGACGTCAAGGGCGCAATCGACCGTGTCTTCAAGCGCATCCCGGGTACTGACACTCCTTCTGTCGACGGAAAGCGCTACAAGCAGGAAGGCTTCGATGTCCTATCCGGTGCGCTTGGTGCAGATGGCTGGAAGAGCGTCGTCGCGAACGACCAACAGAACCAGAAGAACCGCACATACTCTCACTCTCCCTTCATGTACGACAACGGTCAAAGGCAGGGTCCTCTTGGCACTTACATGGTTTCCGCCCTTGAGAGGAAGAACTTCAAGCTGTGGACTAACACCATGGCCCGCCGTATCGTTCGCACCGGTGATACTGCTACTGGCGTCGAGCTTGAGAGCGGTGTTGGCGGCACTGGCTACTGCGGTACTGTCAACCTGAACCCTGGAGGCCGTGTCATTGTCTCCGGTGGAGCTTTCGGATCCTCCAAGGTTCTCTTCCGCAGCGGCATTGGACCAAAAGACCAGCTGAGCATCGTCAAGAACAGCGCCCTCGATGGCTCGACCATGATCAACGAGTCTGATTGGATCAACCTCCCTGTCGGCCAGAACTTGAACGACCACGTCAACACCGACCTTGTTATCAAGCATCCCAACATCTCCTTCTACGACTTCTACAAGGCGTGGGATGCTCCCATCGAGAGCGACAAGGATCTGTACCTCTCCAAGCGCTCTGGTATCCTTGCTCAGTCTGCGCCCAACATTGGTCCCCTCGCTTGGGAAGTGATCAAGGGAAGTGATGGCATTGACCGATCGCTCCAATGGACTGCTCGTGTTGAAGGCCCCGGTGCCAACGACACCCACCACCTCACTATCAGCCAGTATCTAGGCCACGGCTCTACCTCGCGTGGTGCGCTCTCCATCAACGGTGCTCTCAACGTCTACGTCAGCAAGGCGCCCTACCTACAGAACGAAGCCGACACCGGTGTAGTTGTTGCCGGTATCAAGAGCATGATGAAGGCTATCCAGAAGAACCCAATGATCGAGTTCCAGGTACCATCACCCAACATGACGGTTGAGGCGTACGTTGCCAGCCTTCCCAAGACACCAGCTGCCCGTCGCGCCAACCACTGGATCGGAACCGCGAAGATTGGAACCGATAGTGGTCTTACTGGCGGAACAGCCGTCGTGGATCTGAACACTCAGGTGTACGGAACGAAGAACATTCACGTCGTCGACGCGTCTCTCTTCCCTGGGTAAGCTCACCCTCAATATCACACAACATCCTCGAACTAACATGGCGCAGTCACATCTTCACCAACCCTACATCTTACATCGTCGTGCTCGCAGAACATGCTGCTGCTAAGATCCTTGCACTTGGTGCAAGCAGTGGAGGTGGTAAGCCTTCGTCGTCCGCTCCGTCATCCGCCAGTACCGCTAAGCCCTCATCTTCCAAGGCTCCGACTAGTTCGTCAGCTGCCCCTGTGAAGCCATCGTCCACACCAGGAAAGTCATCGGCTGCGCCGACCAAGACATCTGCAGCACCCTCAGCTACTCCTACCAAGACGGCAAACGCCTGGGAACAGTAAGTGGACAAAGCACTTTCATGCATTGAACACATACTAACTTCGAATCAGATGCGGCGGTCAAGGCTACACTGGTCCGACAGCTTGTGTCAGCGGATACAAGTGCGCAGTGAACAACACATGGTTCTCTCAGTGCGTCCCTAAATAAGAGGCGCACACCAATCTCCCGCCCCGGTCTCGACATTTGATACATCTGGGGCATCTTCTTTGTACATACTTTAGCTTCAGTGAATATCACTCGCTCTTCCTGCAACTTCGTGTCTTGAATGCCTCGCTTGGCCTCGTGAGCTGATGACTTCCGCAGAACCTTGGAATGTCTGGAAGCCGAGGTGATGATGCGTGACGAATGCAGAATAGCGCGCGTCTTATCGCGCCCCGCATTTATCGACCTTTCATCGCAACTGATCGCTCATCTCATCCCAACTTTCTTTGGCGTTTTCAACATTATTCTTTTCGCGTAGCGGCCCTCAATCTTACGTGACTTGGGTGTTGTATACTTCCTGGCTGCTCCACACGTACATGATGCCATCCAACTGCCCAGCCACCTCTGCCAAGCGCGACGATGACGCGTCGAAGAACGTGACGGGACTGCTCCATCAACGGCTTCAAAGCAGCCCTAAAGACGACTGGGGACGATTGTTCGAGTGCTGGGGCTATGATGATTGTGGTGACTGTCATCGGAGTAAAGGCCATTGCGGGTGGTGTGCTATTGTATGTTCATATCTCCTCCATCGACTTGTCACGCATTCACCCCTGGGATACGGCGGATTATGACTGACTGAATCTAACAGTCCTCGACGTGCCTTCCCTTACCTACGGACGCTTTATCAAAAGCTTTTCCTCTCCTTTCACCCATTCGCTACGACTCGATATGCGCTTTACCATCTGAGCGCTTTGAGCTGCGTACCTCGGGGTTGGGCTGTCAAGTGTCTACAATCACATTCTTGACGTCCATCGTGACTATCTTCTCTACGCTCTTCGGTGTTCTAGTGCTGTACAGTCTCGCGAAGTGTATCAAGGGGGTTGGCTTTGGTGCAAAGGCAAGTCGAGGTGGCTACGCGCTCTATGAAGATGGAACGGAAGAGGTATGGGTAAGAAGAAGCGAAAGTTGGGGGAAGTGGTGGCGAAGAGTGAATGGCGAGCAGAAAGAATTCGAGGTTGAAGAGGTGGATGGAGGGACGCGTAAGAGAGGCTTTTTCTGGTGGAATACGAGGGATGCAGAGAGGAGACCTTTGCTTGAGTGATGGGGGTGTGAAGATGATCGTTCGGCCTACGTTGGACGATACTGGTGTACTGGTCGCACATCTATACCAGCGGCTAGGCTATCTGCGTCACTACCGCCTGCTCGACACTCACTCGCCCCTCACCTCCGCGTCTGCCTTCCCGAATACGTCATTATCCAGAAACGTCCGATCTTTCACTTCTCGTCTCTGAGTGATATCACCTGCTCTCACCCAGATCCACGTCCAAGCTCTCACGCACTAAGGCCATATAAAAAAGCCCCTCTCCGACCAGCTCTTTTCCTCCACCGTACACCCCGACAACACTGCGGTACCTTACCTCCAAACAACTTCTCTTCTATTCACGACTACGAACATTCTACAGAAAGCTACTCCATTAGACATGGACCGGATGCGCCAACGCGGACGTTTCGGTCGAGCCAATTCGATGTGGATTCCCGGCTCCTTCAGTGACAGCGATAGCGGCGATCAATTCAGTCCCGCTGCTCACACCCCGCCAAGCTCTGACGAGTACCAATCGCCTTCCAACAGGATGTCTCCCAAGGTCAACACCGCTGGTCTTCGACCACTCCAGGAAATCGCTGAAGAGGCTAACATGTGTGCGGCGTCCCAGCTTGCGTTCGATAACGACGATGAGGCCTTGGCTCAACTCGAAGCTCGGATCGAAGAACTCAACGCTGAGTATGAGCAAGTCCTGAACGGCCAACCTGGTAAGGACAAGGAACACGGCCTTGCGTACGCCTCCAGCAACGAGCGCGAAGAACACGACGAGCAAGATCCCGCTGGACACGGCGCAAACGGCCGCAACGACCCCGCCGGACTCCGAGGGCTGGTTAAAGCCCACGAGATGGCAGTGAAGAAGTCTATCAACAGTGCCCGTAACATGATCGGGGCGTTCCCCTCAGCCGTCGATCTTTTCCCCGTGTACAACAACATGCGCTCCGCGGTTCAGCAACCCGACCAAGTCGCGGGAGGTATGATTGATCAGACTCCAAGGCCCTATGGGAACTATCGACATCAGACTGAGACACATTCACTATCGCATACCGACACTGCTCCTACTCGCTCGGCGGAAGTCAAGGCTTCTCCTTCTGCTAGACGCGCTGATGATCAGGGTGAAGAGCAGTCCGTGAAGAAGAAGTGGAGTACTGTTAAGGTCAAGTCTGGAGATGATGATGGCAATAGCCCAACTGCAGACCGACCAAACCTCCATTCGACATTTTTCGACACTTTCGTCTGGCCGACTGAGCTGTCCACGACATTGTCCCATGCTCGCGCTGCAACGAGGGCATCTAGGTCACCGCTTCCTGAGCTCAGGACTTTCGAGGACGTCCACCGCCAGATTCGCGAGCAGGATGTCGAAACTATCCTGGACGCCGACAACATGGCTACTCTACATTGGGTTAAACGCGAACTCGCTCCTGTTTCTTCCCCGAGCGGCCCTGCAACCCCAAAGCCCGAGCCCGCTACTTCGCTTCCAGAACGCACTCACCCAAAGAAGAACGCACCCAGCCAGTCATCGCTAGAGGCCCTTTGCGGTGTCCACACGGGTCAAGATCACAACGTCAACTGTATTACCCTCAAGGAAGGTATCTCACCCATCGATCTTCTGAATCTTCTAGATAACTCCGACATTTCCGATATCGAGTTCGAGATCGAAGACGACTGTGCCGAGGTCAAGAACGGCGACGCGACAGCCGGAACTACTACTTTAGAGCCGCGTAAATTTCTTCCGACTGTTGCGGAAGATAACAAGCAGGCTCGCGTAGCAGTAGAAGGTCTCAACTATGGTCTCAACACAGATGGAGAAGAGTACAGCGACTCCGACGCCGATTCGATTCCCGACCTCTTCTCTATGGACAAGGGTTTGCCAGAGAAGACTTCTGATGTCGAGACCGCTACCGGCTCTGCTTCTGCTGACAGCACCCCCGCACCGGACGACGCTATGGTAGACGAGTTTCTGGACTTTACTGCCAACGCCTTCTCGCGCGATGAAGTCTTCGAGATCCTTCGTATGTGCGGCGCAAATCTAGTTGTTGCTGTCTCCATGTACCGCAACGCCCGCAGTCTTGATCATATCCGACAGATGCTGAGGGCTTGGCTTGCGCCGCTTGAGAACGGTGGTTTGGGAGAAATGGATCGCCAGTCCATTCAAGACGGCGTAATGAACCCCTTAATGGTCACTGATCCCTCACATGCCTTCACACCTCTTCACAACGATGAACCTACTGGAACAACGATGGATGTGCGAGATGCCGACCGTTTCAACGTACTCCGACCTTTGAAGGACATCGCAAGCTCCACAGAGGAAGACGAGTCCAAGAAGGACCAGGACAAGGCCAAGAACAAGACGGGCGCTGTTCGTGCAGCCCCCTCTGCGATTAGTGACGGATATGGCGGTTCAGGTGGGCTAAGGGATCCCCTGTGGGCTCCGTCAAGTTGGGAATACGAGTGTAAGGACCTTGCTTGGTTGATAAACCCCAACTCCGCGCCTGGTAATCCGGGGTCTACTGGACCAGGCCCACAGAGCTCAGGAGACGACGCATGGGCTTCCATTGGTAACCTTAAAGACTCCAACAACGCTCCCGAACCAGAAGCTCCTGTATCTACTGACTATACCGTCACCTATTGGGCCACCGTCGAGTCCGGCGACAAGACTGTCCACATTCCCATCAACAGCAGCGACGTCTCCGGTCCCGAGAAGAACATCATCGAGAGCAGCACTGGTATGAAGAAGATCTGGAAATGGGCTCAAGAGAAAGGTCTTAGCGACAAGATCAGCCTTCAAGACGCTTTCGACCTCGCCAAGGACATGCACTGCAAGGACGAAATCGACCAGCCAGTCATTAAGGAGCCTGAGCGTGCCACAGAGCTCCCACGTGCTACCCGCCGCAGGCGTAGCCGCAGCCACAGCCCATATCCACAACGCGCTGCTCCCGCTGTAGGTCTCTCCGGTGTGAACTACGTTTACCCCAACCCCCCGCATGTTCACCCGATGACCTCTCCGATGAGTCTGGTCGATCCGGCCCACGAGGACGTGTGTGATGAGGGCGAGGGGTGGTCTTGTTATTAGCCTTTTTGGCTTGACGTCTTTTAGGGCTTGGGGTCTTCTATTTCATGCTTTACAGATTTAGGAGTGATTCTCCGCCCGATGGCCTTGCTTTGTTTGTTCTTGATTATGGGATTGCGCATATGACGAGATCACGGTAAAAGGTCATTGGCTTACAAGACTAAAGGATGTTTGCGAAAGGCGGGTTTTCCGTCAGAATGGGTAGTACGGATAGCTGCACTGCTTAGTGCTATGAACGTGGAGAATATTCGTAACTTTGTCTCTCACTGTACAGTGATATCACTAAGCCCAGCATTGATCTTTTAGGCATGGAAGATAAACTCGACACTAATATCCGCTCGCACCATAATCTTGGCCTAAATAGACTGCGAATTAGCTTGGGATGAACGTGTGGTGGATGAAAAGTCGTGCACGATGCCGACAAGCCCCACACTCTATTCGCATATTAACGTCCATGCAGGTCCATCCGCAACGCACCCATGCTCGAGCATGGTAGTCCAGATTATTTCCAACGGCAGTTCACACAGTCTCAAAGCTATTGTAATCTTTCATAAAGCTGAGAAAGATACGAGGAACAACAGCACTATCCTGAATCAATTCCACATTGTTGCTGAGTTGCAAGAGCTGCGATCCCTCAACATGCGTCCCTCAACCCTTCTCAGCGCAACAGCGCTCCTCCCCCTCGCAATGAGCGCCTGCGAACGCGAGTTCCTCGCCGCCTTCACATCGCTCTACCTCTCCGCCCAAACCATTGGCAACTCCACACTTCTCACAAACTACATGCTCCAAAACTTCACCTACACGGAGAACTTCAAGCCCGCCAATCTCTCCGCCGCAACCTCCATCATCAACACGCCCCTCAACAGCACCGACTCGCGCGTCTTCCTAGACCCGTACCTCTGCAGCGCGTTCACCGAGATCATCGTGGCAGAGTCAAGCCACCCGTATGTTCTCGGCGTGCGCGTGGAGGGGAACGGCAAGTTTGTGACGAGAATGGAGACCCTGGTTAGTGATGAAGGGGATTGGTTGTTCAATGCTACTGGTACGGCGTACTGGAATGCGATGCAGGATTGGTCGCCTGTTCCGCTTGCGGACCAGGATACCCGCGAGGTTATCAAGGCGGCTGGCGATGCGTACTTCAACCGCTTTGGCAATGTCAATGTCACCATTCCGTTTGGCACACCTTGCGCCAGGCTTGAAGGAGGTGCGTATACCGATACGAGTATGACGAATGGCGAGACCTGCTCTTTGGGTCTGCCGAGTACGGTTTATGTGCAGGATCGCCGGTATGTGGTTGACGTCGAAATGGGCAGCGTGAATATCTATGTGGGTTTCCCGGGGCTGGACAGGGCGAGTGAGACACCGGCTCCAGATAGCCATACTTTCCGCGTCGAGAAGGGGAAGATTCGGTACGTGCATACTATCTCGACGTGTGAGAACTTTGGGTGTGGGCTGAATGGGACGTATATACCGATTGGCGGCGGCAAGAAGATGGCGAGAGGTATCGCTGCTCCAAGGCTTCGGAAGACAAGACGCGCGTTGTAGGAAAATGGTGAAACTGGTAAAATTCGCTTCGTTATAGCATGCACATCGCTTAGTCTGCTATTCTATACTCGTACCTTCAGGTTCAATCCTGTGATACTCCACCGTCCCACAACCAGTATACAGCTTCCTAGCAACACTGCAGTTCCCGCGAAGATCTGCGCGCTAAGATAACCTCCACCATTGCTTTGTATCAGCGCTCCTGCGATCGGTGGCCCGATGAAAGTGCCCAGACCTACGATGGCAAGTCCCTGCCCATTTCTCGTACCTACTTTACTCATATCCTTTGTCAGCGTAGTCATTACAGCCGGGAAGATTCCTTGGAATCCCGAGACGAAGAAGCCATAGCACACCGCCCAAGCGTAAAGGCTAGGCTCGCTGTTGACTAGAGGCCAGAAGTAAAGTACAAAAGCGGAGACGAAGCAAAAGGGTATTAAGATATTGTACGGCCCGGTATACTTGTCGGCGAAATAGGACGGTACGATACGACCAAGGACACCGACACCGTTCAATACTAGCAGAATGTTGATGGAGGTTGCGTATGGTAGACCAAGGATATCGATCGCGAACGATGAGATGTAGTAGAAGGCGAAGTACTGCCCAAGGGCAATGAGAAAAACTCCCATCAGGAATACACTATACGGCATTTCTCTGAACGCGCTGAGTTCGAGCACTGGGCCAGACTTTCTCGGAGGTAGTCGTGGTTTCAACAGGGAGCTGTAACATATTCCCACAGCTAGCATCATGAAAGCCATCACCCTGACAGTCCATGGGAAACCAATTCGGGGAACTAGCTGTCGTGCGATCGTTGGGTAGACGAGTCCACCCGTCGCACTGCCGCTGGCCATGATCGCGAGTGCCACGCTCCGATTCTTCGCAAAGTATGTGCTAACAAGTCCCAGAACAGGCGCGAATTGCATCCCGTTTCCAACTCCATTCATGACACCCTGCGCAAGGAAGATCTGCCAGTACTTCGTACACAGACTGGTCATGAACATGCCGAGGCAGGAAACGAGCATGCCGGGTATCACTGACCAGTAGAAGTATCCCGCATCGAAAAGACGCCCGGTCAACATGCCCAGCGAAAAGTGACCCAGCATCTGGAAGCTTCCGATCCAGGATACGGCTGATGGTTCAAGACCCAGGTCGAGCGTGTAATACTGTTGGAAGACGCCAAATGTCGCAATCATCCCCCACGTGTTGAAGATAACGAAGTGGCCCATGAACGCCTGCACCCAGGCTTTGGCACCCCCATCAGGCGGTGGCCCAGGGTCGATGACGGATGCATTCGAACGAGCGGTAATTGTCTTAGCCAGTCCGATCACCGACTTCTTGGTACGAGATGTATGAGTAAGGTATGTCGGTATTCTTTCGATCTCCTCCTCTTCGTGCTGGGATGCTGGTCTTGATGGAACCCTTATTGAGGCGTACGACGCGTCATGATGGCGTTCGTGATGGCGTTCGGTGTGCGCTTCTCCGAACTCCGATATCGTGGCTTTCTCCACATCGCGGTTGGCACTCATCTCAACGGACTGGAAAGGATGTTGTCAATTGCCTGATGTGATGAGGAAGACGAAGAGTACGGCTTCCAAGAGGTGGTGTGGCTGGTGTGTGGGTATTCGAAAGAAGCGCATCCTTCGGTGTTTTATCCGACGGTCAACCATCTTTTCAACTCATCGTCCCCACTCTCCGGCCGCGGAGGCTAACTGAGATCCGATGCCATCTTGAGCTTGGTTGTTGGATCTGTATGCATGCTGCACGCAGGATGTCCAATTGCGAAGCTTTGCCTGGGGATATGGGGAAAGCTTGTGGCTGCTTCCCCAAAATTTCGGCAATAACACCGCGTTGGTATACTTTACGCTAACCTAATTGGGCTCGTCGATCTTCAAAGCGCGCCCTACGGCTCTCATCAATATTGCCACACGACACCACAATCTACATCATAATAATGGTGGAGTTTTACTTTTCTAATCATCTTGCGGATATATCATTAAAACTAGAATCCGTTCGCTTGGGCGACCAGACCATGTGGTAACCTCAATCAGACCTGCTTTCGCCACCACCTTCACCAGTTGGTCATCTTCGTCGCGATGTCGCTACGAGGTAGATCGCGGCATATGACAGTGCGAACATATCTCCACGAAGTGAGGAGAAGATGTACGCGTCGTGGATGGCGTAAAGATGGTATCGCTTTCTAATTCGTGCATTAGCAAGCGTGCCTAGGTAATCAACAGGACCAGCATGTTGCATACCAGCTTGAGATTGCGCATCAGCCTGGACCGACACACTGCAGCTCTTGATAAATCTTTTGGAGGACACCGTTGAGCTCCTGGTCGGTAGCGAGTCGGACGGTTTCTTGTATAGGCGTTGCTCAGGATCCACGCACATCCATTGCGCAATGGTGCGCATCTCGTTGAAGATAAGAAGGCTGCGGCCAGCATAATGAGCTGAGATATCTTCTGGTTGGGATAAGAAATTGTCAACATTATACATGCAGTTGTCTTGCAGAGTGACCAGCTCTCTGTTGGCAACCCGACCATCCTCTTTAGTCCGCAGGCGGCAGGAGAAGAAGACAGGAAACGGCTCCAAGAAAGCAGTAAGACTTTTCAATAAGTCTACGTGTGTTACCACCTTCGGTAGCCACTCGTGAGCTATTTTCAACGCAAACAAAAGCTCTACGTCAACTTCCGAATTGACTTTAACGATGACAGGCCACTGGCCTTCATCCAACCGTTGTTGTAGTGCGGCAGCCTTGCCGTACTCTGGGAGTTCAAACGTTGATCCTTCCATGCTGCATTTTCTGATGCGATCGTTTGCCTTCTCGAGGATGTTGACAGAAGCTTGGACGGTATTGCGGTGTATCAGGCGGAACGATGCTTGGTTATTCAACTTGTAACGCAAACTGCTTGGCTTGTGTGCCATGTCGTGGTTACGGCTGTTCGCGGTGGTGTGGAAGAAAGGTGATCAGGAGCAGTGTATAACACAAAATTGATAGAATCAATTCAAAGGAAGGAGGTAAACGAGTTAAATCGATGACAGAAACTTTCTGGCAACAGGAGCGCACGGGAATATGTATTGATCGGAAGGTTCTTCGTCACGACTGAGGGCGATTGGTGAAGCCTGCCGGAGGACAGTCCGATGCAGAGATGTAACTGTAAGCATGGCTTAATAGGGTCTTGTTGGACCCCTCTCTTGCCGTATTCGGTTCCGCGGTTCATCATCACGAACATCTAAATGAGGCCAGAGGAAAATTCCGTGCAACTCGGAGGCTGGCAAGCTATATCGCTAGCATACTGGCTATGGTAGCCTGCCGAAGCAGTAGGACTCATACCTAAAGCTATCTCAATAATCGTAATACACCTTCCCAGATAGAATGTTGACATCACTAGCTATGACATACTAGCTCACGCCTTCATATGCTCTTCGAACAACTTCTTCTGCTTCTCCCACTCCTTCTTGAGCTTCTTCACCCTCCCCTTAGCCACATCAGCACCGTCCTTATCCTTCGTCGGCAGACCATCCTCATCCCACGCACTATACTCCTCAGTCCTAAACATGTCCTTAGGGTTGATCTTAGCTTGCTCTGCGAGCTTCGCCTTCTTCTCCGCCTCCTCGCGTTCGCGCTTGAGCTTAGCCTCCGCTTTCTGACGAGCAATTTCCTCTTTCTGAGAGCGGGCGGCTTGCAGCTCTGCGTCGACCGGTCGGACCATGGCGGGCGCGTTCTCGCGGTCTTCAAGGTAGATGCCGAGATCCCAAAGGTGCGTGTCGCGGAGCTGGTCGCACAGGTCGAGGTAGTCCTTTGCTGGCGCTTGCTTCTTTGCGAGGTCTTGTAGAGACTGTTGGAAAGTGGAAAGGACTTCGGCATATGGGACTGCTTCTATGTCTTGTTGCTTCGCGGGGTTATGCTGGGCGATGATAGAGTCTAGGTTCTCGTTGAGATCGCCGGCTATGGCATGCTGCCTCACTTGGTCCCGTTCCCGTGAAACAGCGTATACGTGCTCTTTGGCGGCCGAAGGAATATCGATGCCAGCCCAGCCGATGCCACCGTCCCAGGGGTCAGCTGAACCGTCAAGGCCGAATATCCGGACCATGCGGGTGATGTAGCGAGCGACGTCGAATGAGACATCATCAGACAGTCCAGCCTTGTCGGCTGAGTTGTATTCGGTGATGAGGCTGGAAATCGCACGCATAGCGGTAGGTGTGTCGAACGAGTCGGCTAGCGCACTGATGCTACATTAGTAAAAGTTTCGATACCCATCTTCTCGTGTCTTACCTGTGTACTTTCTCCTTCGCAGATTCAAGAGACTGTTTCACCTTCTCGTCTTCAGCACCGGTCGAACTGATGTTTGGGTGTACTTCAAGATCCCGAACTTTGTAGAAGAAGTTGGTGACATAGCTCTCCCATGATGAACCCGACTTTCGCATGTCTGGTGTGATTTCGATACCGTCGTGCCAGCCTCCGAGAAGGAAGATGATGCGCAAACTCCGTGCATTCCAATCACCGCGACTCAGGGCTTCGCGGATTGTGGTGAAGTTCTTCAAGCTCTTTGACATCTTGGAACCGGATATAGACAGGTGACCCATGTGGAGGAAGTAGTTCACCCACTGCGCACCGCCTTCCTTTTGCCAGTAGGCTTCTGACTGTGCTAGTTCGTTGTCGTGATGTGGGAAGCAGAGATCGATACCTCCACTGTGTATGTCCATCTGTTCGCCTAGAACGGCCGAAGCCATAACGGAGCACTCGATATGCCATCCTGGTCGACCTGGGCCCCATGGGCTCTTCCATGCTGGTTCTCCCGGTTTCGATGACTTCCAGAGCGCGAAGTCGGAGTCGTTGCGCTTTTCCGAGGTCTTGACTGTTGACAGAGCACCTTCGCCATCTGCTTGCAGATTCGTGTCACCTCTGTTCCATGGCTCCAGGCGTGCGTAGTGGTTCCCCTTTCTCTTCTCGAAGCTCTCAATATCGAAGTAAACAGATCCATCCGATGTGCTGTATGCCATGCCGTTCTTGATAATTTTGTCTACGAAAGCCACGATGTCATCGCCGTACTCAGTCACGCGAGTGACTACATCCGGATCCAGGACGTTGAGCGCTCGCATATCCTCGTTGAAGCGCGCTTCGTACTTCTTGGTAAGTGTCGTGAAAACCGAGTGGTCGCTGGCATCGATAGTTGAACCATATAGTGAGTCGAGGTAAGGTAACAGTACGTCCTCAGCGCCAGCATAGAAAATCTCCACATCCTCAGGGGTCGACTTCGATGGAGCCAGCAACGACGTGACTGCTGTGCTGGCCGTCCGGAGGTGCATCTTGATCTTCGCTTCCTTGTCGCCTGGCGGACCAACACCGTCGACGGACTTGCCCTGAATGACATTGGCATACTTCTCTGCAGAGTCGCTGTTGAAGCTGCCGATGTTGACATCCTCACTGAGCAGAGGTAGGTTTTTCTTGACATATGCGTCAAAGGCTTTGATGGTAGTGTTGACAACTTCATCCGTTACAGTTGGGTTATCGGCCTTGAACTTAGCGAGAAGATATTGTTGGCGCCCGCGCAGGATGATCTTGTCGTCAACGTCTGTGATATTCTGAACGAACTTCAGCCTGTAACCGTAGTATTGGGCCAGGATTCTCCGCAGAATGTCGTTTGTGACGTAATTTCGAGCATGACCCAAGTGTGCATCGTCGTAGACGGTGGGACCGCAACTGTACCACTTGACTTCTTTGCCTTCAGGATCGATAGGTACGAAGTCGTTCTTTGATCTCGTCAACGAGTTCCAGACTTTCAATTTTGCTGGGCTTGATCCTTTGGGTTCCTTCCACGGAGGTTGGGTGCGCGCCGGTGTCGCCATGTTGGCTGCTAATCTTGGCGATATTTGACTCCTGTGTATCCAAGTGCAGTTGGTTTTCGAAAGTAGAAGTGGGGAAGGCGATTTGACGGTGCGGGACAAAGACCGGAAAGCAAGTACCATCAATGTGGCGGGAAATGGGACTGTAAGGAGTGACGGGAAACGGTGCTAGTAGTCAGGCCAGGTGTAAGTCCGGGAGCCGCTTACGGTGAGTCAGTAAGTGATGTTCTCGTCACGTTCTGTTGGTGGTCTATGGGTGAGCAATAAGAATCCCTGTCAGTGAGGGCTTGGCGTTCCCCTCCAATAGCGTCTTCGAAAGCTCCCCGCTGAATATCTTTTTGTTCTTTGGAGCTCCGAGTCGCGATCGCATCATCTCCACATCTTTGGTCTGTCGCGACTTCTCTCACCCATGGCGACGACACCTTCCCCGTTCCTTGACCCGGGGACTTGCGCGACAGCAGACAATCTCGGTATATTGCAATTGCGCCGCGATCAACTTATTCCTGCCGTCTTGAGACCCGAGGCCGATTCCGACTATCCTGAAGGCAAGGTTGAGAACACGCGATTCGGTTCTTTCCCACATAGTACACTTGTCGGCCAGCCCTGGGGCACGCAAATTCTTGCGTCCCTTGTCGACACTGGGTCGCGCGGAAAAAACAAGAAGCGCAAGAGAGACACCAAAGATGAAGGAGAGGGCACACCAGTCGCCGAGCCGGATACGGCGAAGAAGGATATAGTGAAGGCTGCTGCAGCGAGTAGTGGTTTTGCGCATCTCATACCACCTACACCAGAGATGTGGACGATATCGTTACCGCACCGCACCCAAGTCGTATACACGCCCGATTACAGTTACATATTGCAGAGACTGCGCGCAAGGCCGGGCGACCACATAATCGAGGCCGGCGCAGGCAGTGGAAGCTTTACGCATGCATCGGTACGAGCCGTCTACAATGGCTACCCGGGGACACAAGCTACAGAGCCCGAGACAAACGGCGACGAGGAGAATGCAGTGGGCACATCCAAGAAGAGGAAGCGCAAGACACGGACTGGCGGCGTATACAGCTTTGAGTACCACCAACCGCGCGCAGAGCAGCTACAGCTCGAGATCAAGGAGCACGGCCTGGAACCTCTAGTCAAAGTAACCCATCGCGACGTATACAACGACGGTTTCAATCTCGAAGATTCGACAGGCCCAGACGCCGACTGCGTATTCCTCGATCTGCCAGCGCCATGGCACGCCCTTAATCACCTCACGCGCTCCCCTCCCTCCTCCGCCGCATTGAAGTCCGTCGCTTCAGACCCATCCACGCCAGACGAACCCGCAACCGAAGCACCACCACCGAACACTTCCTCCTCGAAACCCTTCCGCAGCCCCCTCAATCCGCGCAACGCAGTCCGTATCTGCACGTTCTCGCCCTGCATCGAACAAGTCACAAAGACCGTCTCCGCCCTCCGCACCCTCGGCTGGGTGGAAATAGACATGGTAGAGATCAACGCCAAGCGCCTCGATGTACGTCGCGAGCGCGTCGGTCTACAAGAGGAAGGTGTGCGTGGCGGCAACGCGCACCCCGCAAACGTCCAGGAAGCGGTACAACGACTCAGGGACGTGGAAGGCCGCGCGGCAGTGTTCCACAGCATGCAGCGCGAGAAGCAGGAAGAGGTCATGCGAAAGGCTGAGGCGCGGAAACGCGGGGAGAATGTGGGTGAGGGCGGGGAGGTGGGCAAGGGCAAGAAGAAGAAGATGGAAGGCGTGCCGCCGAGTAAACATGACAGGCTTGCTCAGTCGAAGAAGGACATGGAGAGTCGGACATTGTTCAAGGAGGGCAGGCTGGTGCATAGGACTGAGCCGGAGCTCAAGACGCATACCTCGTATCTTGTCTTCGCCGTACTACCACGGGAGTGGACCAAGGAAGACGAGGAGAAAGCGAAGAGGAAGTGGGGATGAAATTGGAACATATGATATCAATGGAAGATACCCAGATTACGAAAACTATTCCTCAAAACAGGAGCTCTGTTCCTCATTTCTGGAAAAAGACATGTGGCTAAAACTAACGAAAACACCTTCGACTCTGCCATTTCCAAGCACCCACTATCCCCACACGGCATCCTTCGCCCTATGGCTACCACTCCTCCCTGGTGGTGTGCTGATGCTGTGCGTCCAAGCCTCGTTTCCGTCGATGAACAGCCTGTAGTTGACAAAGCTCTGCTCTCCGTGTTCAGGTGTGGTAACCTCCACAGCACCAAATTTGCTGTTACCGTCAGGAAGGTACTTGAGGCATACGTCCTCGTCATCTGTCTCTTTGTATGTTCTGAAGGGCAGGTAGAACATGCTCAGCGGGCTGGTGCTGAACTCATGTACCGTAGCGCTCGTAGGCCACTTGCCATCCTTCGGTGGTGGAAAAGACGTAGCGGCGAATTCGTGACGGTCACCGCTAAGGACTACGACGCCGATATCGTGCGCGGAAGAGAGGTCCCAGGCAGCTTCCAGGATACGTCTGCGCTCATACAGATGCCCGCCCCATGTGTCTTCCGACCCGAATTGCCAGTTCTTTGTGAAGGGTGTACCCGTGACAATGAACTTCCAGTGAACACCCGGAGGTGGTAGTTTATGTATCCAGTCCAGAAGATCGGAGAGCTGCTGGGCACCGAGCATGGTTTTCGTGGGGTCAGAAGCGTCTTTGCTCGCGGGGGTACGGTATCGTCGCGTGTCGAGGAGGAAGAACTCTGCTGGGCCTTGTGTGAAAGAGAAGTAAGTGACACCTTCGCGATGAGGAGGAGGGTTGGGCGCGGCGTTGTAGTGCGTGAAGGCGTCGTAGGCTGGGACTGCTACACCCGTCATGTTGCTGTTCCAGTCATTGTGAATCTCATGATCGTCAATGACGTGGATCCATGGCAGGTTCTCGCTCACTGCCGGCCATGATGGCGAAGAGTAGACCTGTCGGTACTCGCGTCTGTAGGTCTCTACATCGCTACCCTGACGATGTGGCACGTCGACGTAAATGAAGTCGCCGAGAAACAGCATGAAGTAGGGCTTAAGCTCTGGTAGCCAGCGCGCTAGGTGTTTCATGCCGGGGAATTCGAGAGGGTGCTGGAAGGGCGTGTACGGGACGCGAGGCTTGATGCAGCTCGAGTGCACGAAAGTGTATTTGTTGTCCTTAAGCATCGATATGCGCCCCGGTTTCGGCGCGGTCGTGAAGGTGCCTGATATGTTTCCCCGCGAAGTCTCGATGATGTACTCGTAAGGCAGATCGGGTCGCAGATGTTCGATGTTCATGACGGTCGTGAAGTCGGTCTCGTTGGTGAGCCAATACTCGGGTTGGCTGGCGCGGTGGGTCTTGTGCATCCACGATCGTTCGGTTCCATCGATGGAGCGATAGAGGACCTTCACGTCAAAGGCGTACGGCTCTCGCACTAGGATCTTTGCGCTGTTTTCCGACACGTAGCCGACGCGTGCAAAGCTCGCATCGTGGCATTGGTGGAGTAACGGAGCGCGATAGACAACGTCTAAGGCCATGGCAATCAGAGCCATGTTGATGCCAAAGGTGATCCAGCTCCACATAGCTGATGAAGGACTTGGGAGCCCAGTGAGCAGCGTACGCAGCACCTTGGGTTCCCTTTCCTCATATTGGACAGTCTCTTGGACGTCAAGCTCTTTCAGCGGCCCATCATCGGCACCGTCAATGAGCTGTACTTCTTCGCTGGAGTCATCGCCGCGTCCACCGACAGTCTCCTTCACAATGATGTCGAGTTCATCGGATATGATCTTGTATTGCGCCGTGTCCTGGAAGCTGGTGAAGAAGGAGGGGATGTAGACGAGCGTGAGGGCGGTCGCAAGTGCAGGCACGATTGTTGTGGGTATCTGCAGAACGGTCAGCTGCATGCATCAAGCTACTCGTTCTCTCCTCGTACGTACCCATCGCAGGAAGATCCATATGCTCAGACGGAGTGTCAAAGAGCTAATGAGGGTAAGAACATCGCTCGCAGATGCCATGTTTGCTAAGCCACAAGCATCACTCGGCAGAGGTTTGACGGGGAGAGATGCGCGTCTCGAAGCTTGTGAAAGTGGAGCCGTCGTCACGCCAGACGCGAATTACCATGACGTCGTTGGCGCTAACGATGGAACAAGCTAGCGGTTCTGCGAACGCGTCTGTGAACGTGTGACTTTGCCATTCACTCACACCACGAACTACAGTCATCTACGATACAAGACCCATCGCGTTCTCAAACTTATCATCACGTAGATATTATGGATAGGCTTAACAGCAAAGAAGGATGCGTCTTACCTATCTGAGGATGCATGCCCGGGCTGAGTTAAGCGACATGCATCTTCAGCTCCTCTACCCGTCAGGCTGAGATACTGGCACATCCTCTTTCCCCGCTTTCCAGATCTCCGCCTCCGGCATACAACATGCGTCTTATCAACACAAGGACTCGGAAATTCCAAGAGTTCATAGGCGCATCGATCCCCCCATACGCAATTCTATCGCACACGTGGGGCAATGAGGAGGTGTCGTATAGGGACTACGTTGAAACCCGTGATGCCTCCATGAGAGGCTACAGGAAGATTGTCAAGACGTGTGAGATCGCGAAAGAAGCTGGTATTACGCACTGTTGGATCGATACCTGCTGCATTGACAAAAGCAGTAGCGCTGAGCTTACGGAAGCGATCAATTCCATGTATCGATGGTACAAAGATGCAAAAGTCTGTTACGTCCATCTGGAGGACTTGGCTTCCGCTGCAGCGATAAGTGTCGATTTACCGAAATGCCGCTGGTACGCCCAATTACTCCATCTACGCTTTGCGTACTGAGCATACTAGGTTCACGCGTGGTTGGACTCTCCAAGAACTGATTGCTCCACGCGACATTCAATTCTATAATGCCAGATGGAACTACATCGGTCTCAAAACGGATCTTGTCGATAATTTGTCGACCATCACTGGCATTGGCGTAGAGATCCTACTGCATAATCGGTCATTGGACCTGGTGTCAGTGGCAACAAGAATGTCTTGGGCGGCAAAGAGAAAGACCACGCGGACTGAAGATATAGCCTACTGCCTACTTGGAATCTTTGGCGTCAATCTCCCATTACTGTACGGCGAGGCTGAAAAGGCTTTCCAGCGACTTCAAGAGGAAATAATTCGTTCGAAAGCCGATCTCAGTATCTTTGCTTGGCAATGCGTGCGGCCTCCAGGGGTTGACAGATGGACGCTTACCGGTGTTCTCGCGCATTCGCCAAAAGACTTTGTCAATGGTCACATCGTGCAACGCATGTATGGGAGGGAAGCTCACGAGTTCTCCTTTACCAATGTCGGCATCAAAACGCGTCTGCGCAACCTTTGGGCTCAAGACTATGGCTGTGTTATGCAGTTGAACAGCTTTTCAATCGAAACGGGAAAGCACTTGGCGCTAAGACTGCGCAAAGTTGGTCCAGAAATGTACCTGAGAGAGGGACCGTATGATCTTCTAGAGTATGCTACTGGCGCCTTTCACGAGCGAAGATCTGTCGAACGATACCTCCTTACTGCCATACCGGCAATACCAAGATTCTCGGATTGGTTGGATCCATCGGTAAGGTTCCAACACGCAGAAAGGCTGTTAGATTTCATGCGAGAATTTCCCGTGCGCGTCAAGCTACCACCGGAAGTTCAGTTAGTCAAGATGTGGCCATCTGACCGATGGGATGAAGAAGATCGGCTGTTCTTTGTCTCTGGCGATTCTCGTTGGGATTCGTTCCAGTTGAACCTGCGCTACGAACTCATTTACGATGCCAAGTCCCCTGACGGGACTGTCACTGAAGCTACCACAACCTTTAGCTTTACTCTGTATGCGTTGGGATGGTCTCATATACAACTTGACGCTGTAGATCGTGCTTCATTCGGTCTCGTAGACTGTCTAGAATATGGACCGACTGTGGACAAGATTCATCGGTGGATTTTGGACGAGGAGCCGACCACAGCTTCCATATCCAAGTGGTTCGCGAAGGAAAAGATGCCGAGAAACCAACTGATACGCTACGATATACCTCAGTCCCCTCGTAGCCTGGTAATAAAGATTGAAAGCACGCTGGATAACGTTGTCACTTTGACAGCAGAGGAGATGCCTACTATCAATGCGCCAGAGCGCGTCACACAACAATGGCCTGAGTTCAGGGACTACTAGATCGATGTCACAAACCGCTCATGTACATATGCTACACAACCAACATCTCTTTCACCGTAGCCAACCCGACTCTACATCCGCTACTAAGTGTCCATACATGTTCGGCGCAAAGTCTCCTGTTCAGGCGCCTCGGCGTCCTCGCATTGTATCTCCTCTTACCGCCGTCGAACCAAACAAATCAGAAATCTCCATCGCTCAAAGATCTTGTCAATTCTGGTTTAATACCAATGTAGACTGCAGAACACCTCCTCAATTTCCTGCTTCACAAGGGTGCAATCCTCAACTTTATGGTATTCGTAAATTTTATCTTCGACATAGAGATGGAAGTTGGCGACTGCACGAACAAAGAATCAATGAACACGTTCGGAGCACAGAGCACATGATTTGGCGGTTAGTGACGAGCTCACCAACACCCCGGGCCGCCGCATAGTCGGCCGAGGGTCTAACAAATGTATTCCAAATTTTGTACACGCACAAGAAGGTTTTATGCATGGTCAAAGGATGAAGTGCACCAGAGGATTGGACGTGATACATAGCGCTTCAATGAGAAGCCAGACTGGAGTGACATTTGAGCGAAGACAGGATGGTGGCAAAGAAGCGCAGCCAGACCAAAGCGATAGGAGAAATGACACGCCAGACGAAAGTGCCAGACCTGTAAAGCAGTGATAGTGGGGTCTTATTGCTGCGCTAAGCTCTTCGCTTTAACAGACAACAAAGATGTCGATTAAAGGACTCGTTCGATAGAACTGCGATGACCAAAATGACGACAATAGCTTTCTTGCTCTTCACTTACCTCATCGTCCGTCATCCTATCACCTAACTTCCCATCCACTTCCCGTCTCATCTCCACACGCATCCCTCGCGGACGATCAAACAGCCCTCATACTCCTACGCAGCCACAACCACATTCACATGCACGCCATACTCCGTCCCTCCGCTATCACAATCACACGTTCCTGCATCCATCCTCCACGAGCTTATCTTCCTTCGTCCCCGCTTGCCATGCGGCCAAGACGCTCTTTCCTTTTCCAGAAGACATGAGCGCATTCGCGGACCCTAACGCGTTTCACCTTGACGAAGGAACAATCATAACACGACACGGAACCAGTGGAACGCGACGCGACATGAGACGGGACGGACGACGGCAAATGTCAACACAGTACAGTAATCACCCCACCCCATTGTCGTCGTGGTCGTAGTCGTAGTCATGTAGTCGTGGTCGTGAGATTAAGGCATTATCCCGGCCACCACAAACACCCAGGTACGCACGTGCCACACGGAGAAATCTTACATTCGAAAGGAAGAAAGGCGGCAACAAGGCGATCACAAGGGTGTCGTCGGAACGCTGTTGCTGTCTGGTAAGTTTGAGATGAACGGGTATCTGATCGGGGTCGGTGGTTTTCACGGCGAGAACAAGGGAATGCGGCAGCGCCGAGTCAAGTCACGGGCTGAGGGTCCTTTTTGTTCGTCAATTTCGGACGGCGGGTTATAGACAGGGTTGGGTCGGATATTGAGATCGCCTGAGTGAGGCTGCTTTTTTTTCTTCTGTATCTCGTGTCTATCTGGCAGGTGGGGTGCGTCGTGGGTGTGTGACCGTGTGATGGTGGAGTGGAGAAGGGATGGGCGGTGGGTGGAGTAAAACGGTCGTCGCGTCGGGGGACAGAACGGTGTTTATTGCAACTTAGTCAGGATAGCCGAGCATGGATGCTGAGGGTGAGTCGAGATACTCATCTCATTGGCGGTATGATTGATGGAGCGACGGAGGGGAACGCATGGACTACACGTGTACTGTAGCAAAGGCAAAGCAAATTCCCATCATTGTCGCACTGCAGGTATACGCGGAGAGGGCGTTTGTCAAGTCTTTTTCCCCCGGCTCTAGTAGCTACTTCGGAGTACTATCGTTTGCATACCCGAGTAAAAAGCATACAGAGTTCACACTTCCAGCCGACACGCACGCTACACATGTCGGGTGTCTGCAAACTGTCGGTGTTAGCCGATAGGCTGCATGTTTCGTGGTCCAGTTAGTTTCCTTCTGTTCGCCTCGTTCGTCTTCCCTAACAGGGACAAAACAAGGGTACCTGTCCCCACATCAGTCACCCTGCGAAAGCCAAGCCCAAAGAAACACAGCGCAAAACTGGGTCTTTGGACGCCTTCGGTCCGCGGCAAAGCAGGGTGCTGGTGGGGACGGCGGAACTCAGTCGGTCCTGGGAATAATGCCTTTTTTTCCGGAGCCGAAGGTGTTGTAGGAAGAGGAAACTTGGATTTTGGAAGTTGAGACCCAAGGTCCACTGTAGAGAGGGTCTGGCAACGTCATGTTGGACCGTGGTGTTGGGTTCGCGAAGGTTTGTTGATGCCTGGTTATGCTGGGAAAGTTTGTGGTTGGAAACCTGGTGGTTGGGCTGCGTGATGTGGCGTCATTGTGCATGCGCGCTGGCGATATCGTTGTCGCAAGTTGATGGCGTGATACTCCGGAGTACCGTGAACATGTACGTCACAAAACAAAAGTGTTAGCCATGATCATGGATTCTGGTGGAGCGATGTGACAGGCAAAGCGTTGTAAGCGAAGTAGGTTCTATTTCTCTCATCTCGCTAAGTGACGACGACTAAATGGGATATCATGACTGTTCGTTCCGAAACAAAACAAAGTCAGGCTGCGAGCTGAGCGACAAATTGTAAAATGACAAGAAAATATGCATGCTGGATGCGATGATAGCGACAGATGGATGTGTGGCGGCGAACACTTCGCGAATGCCAACGACGGAGTAGCTGGGAGGGTATCGTAACCTCTAGAGGACAAACAGGAACGGAGAGTAGAGGACAAGGAAATGCCATGTCGTGCGCCATGGGTACACCGGGTATTATGCGCTAAGGTTGCTTAAGTGCCAAGGCGGCGAGCAGGGAAGAAGGTAGTGGCTGGTAGAGTAACATGTGCAAGGAAGTCGCATGCTGGGTGGTTCGTCTATGCATTTATGCGAGCGTTTCGAAACAAATTGAGTTCTTGATGCGTTCATAGGGAATCCATGAAATCCATTAGTGACTTGCGTCGTCGGATTGCGCGGCTCTTGATGCTGGATGTCGCGTCATCGGTCTCGCTGCCAGGAAATTCTGGTATGACGAGTGTAGGCTCACGCTCGTTGGCGCCCCGGGCGGTCATCCTGCCCATGGAGGTGCCCATGGTGGTGGAACGCTTTTGCTGCATAGTGCTGAGTTGCGGGACCGGAGGTGCGTTCTCGGGTGTTGGTGCCCGCTTGGACTCGCTGCCGCGAGACTTGGGTCGGAGGATGGTAGATGCGCGGCGGAGCTTGTTTGGGCTGGAGAAGTTATCTGAGCCTTGGATGGGTGCAGTCATGGGGGTCATGGGCGCTGGTGTCAGTGGTGTGGTGGGTCCTCCTGGGGCTCTGCCGTTGATGCGAGAGTCATATGGCTTCTTCGCTGGCGAGATGGCAATCTTGGCCAGGGAGAGCTTCATAGAGATCGAGCGTAACCGTCGGTGCGCAGCGGGCTTCTTGATGATGGGCGATGCCGCGCTCTTGTTCTGGTTCTCGTAGGGGTCGGAGCTGAGGAAGGATAGAGCGGGCGACTGGGGAGTTAGCGGGGCGAATTGTGATTGCCTATGCGATTGGTATGATGACTGTGATGTTTGTATCCGTGACAGGTCGAGACGGGACTTTGCGGGAACGTATACGGAGGAACGAGCGGAGGTAGAGGGTCGGCGAGGTGGCTCGCTCGGTGCAGGCGAGTAGCTGCGACTTGAGCCGGTCTGGAACGACGATGTGAAAGAAGCGGAGTCGGGGTATGTGCTAGGCTTCTGTGTGATGGGGCTGTGGCTGGTGGAGGGTCGTCGAGGCTCGGGGTCGGCGACGGGTGATGTGGAGCGGGATAGAGGTGGTGAAGCCAGGCGGCTTGTGGGCATGACCTTCATGGACAGGCGCTGTGCCTCGTCGGCCTTGCGTAGCTTGCTGGCTGTGGTAATTGGGAGCAGGTTCGCGACTGAGGCCGAGCGCGGCTGCACCGTTGGGCGATCGACAGGTGAGCGGCAGTCGACCTCAACGACCTTGGGACGACCTGCATTCGCGTACGAGACTAGCACGGCCATGTCGCAGCTCTTTCCCTTGTCCCATCTCGACACAGACATGGTCCTTGCCTTGCACTCCTGTGAGAGGTCGTGGACAACCACGTCATCGTAGTCATATTCTGATTCAGAGGCGGAACCGTCGTCGGCAGTGAGGTCTTCTTCGCTGGAGAGATATCGCTCCTGGAAAACTCTGCCCTCCTTCTTGGTGGAGGGACTCGATGTTGGTGCAGCGGCGGAGTCTATGCGCAGGGTGTCGGGAGCATCGTCGCACAGGTTGGGGCTCGAGGCGGCACTGTCAGTACTGGAGCGCTGTGGGCGGGCGACAACTTCAGGCTTGGCGAAAGTCCACTGCTTCAATTGCGAAGTCACAGCAACGTCGACCATGATTGCGGAGGGAGAATGGAATTGCACCGGCGTGGCTGATCCGGTGGGTGATATATCGGACTGGCTATCGGACTGAGCGGCAGCCGGGACGAGTTGAAACCAAGGCGTGCAGGTGCTACGCGCCAATGGTCGGAGACGTGTGCGTGGCTTGGGAGCACCAGGCAAGCCGGCGCTGAGTGAGACTGGCTGTTGCACGGGGTGGTGTGTTGGAGCGTGAGATGTCAGAGGGTCAGGTGTAGGCACTGAGGGGCACTGTATGTAGGCGTGGTGTGCAGTAGGGTGGGTTGAGAAAGACCGACGCTATATTACGCACATTGGCGAGGGCTGTATATATTGCAGCACTTTCCAAGGCTGCCCACCCCTGGCAGGCGTCGAGGTTTCAAGTACAACCGAGGAGCGAGGGAACCCAAGAGTCAGTTCACCGTGTCGGTGCGCCATTCATCATCTCACGCTGGGCTAGCACAGGCACGCTGCACTGACGCTTGGGGGCTGCATGGCGCAACTCTGCACTGAACTAGCAGATGCGCTCAGGAACCTGCTG